GTGGTGCTGGGGGATTGAACCGCGGTCCCTGATGCTTTGCCAAGCTTGTTCCAAGTAGGTGCTTTAGACCACTGAGCCATCTCTCCAGCCCTTTTCATGGATTTTGATACCTACTGGAAAGCTTTTTTTTTCAGGACAAGTAAGTTTACACAAAATGACACGATATATACCTGCCTTGCTCACTGCACCCTTGCACGCATTGATATATGATCATTATATTGACTGAAGGCTAATTTCACTTGATTTGGGTTCATGGGGCTGTTTTCATTCCTCTGTGATATAAATGGTATAGTAGACTGAGTGCATTTTTGAGTAGAATCAAGAATCAATGGTTGGGCCCGGGAAATGGCTCAGTAGGATAAGTGCTTCCCTGGAAAGCACAAGGGCCTCAGTTCAATCCCCGGTTCTGCAAAAAAAAAAAAAAAAAAAAGACTCAATCATGTTGTAAGAAGCCTTAGAAATGAACACAGGAGCCTGTGGGGCACACTGAGACAGCAGTTGAGACTGGGCATGGTGATGCTCGCCTATAATCCCAGCTCTTTGGGAGTCTGTAAATAGGCGAATCACTACAAGTCCAATCTAGTAGTGAGACCCTGAACACCCTGAAGACCCTTCCCTAAAATACAAAAAAGAAAAGCAGAAGTAACCAGTGAACACAGGTGTGAAGAGGGCTGGCCCCGTCCCACTCCTCTTTCTTTCTTTTTTTTTTTTTTTTAATTATTTGTGTGTGTGTGTGTGTGTGTGTGTGTGTGTGGCCAGCTCGGCCCACCAGGGGGCGGGGCGGGCTGGCATGTGGTGCTGGGAGATTGAACCGCGGTCCCTGTGCTTTGCTAAACTTGTTCTAAGTAGGTGCTTTAGACCGCTGAGCCATCTCACCAGCCCCCACTCCTTTCATTGCACCTCTCCGGTGCCTCTCGCAGGATCTTCTGCAGAGGAGCTGATCCTCATCACAGCCAAAGTGGCCACAGAAAGGACTCCAGGAACCTGTCTGTACTTCAGTGCTGGTCCAGGAATCCTGCCCTCCAGCCAGCCCCCCATATCGTGCTCCGAGGAAGCGGCAGGAAATGTCACCCTGAGCCCCAAGCTGGGTGAGGACTGTGTCCGCGTCTGGAGCCACGAGGGCCTTGTGCTGACCAAGCTGCTCACCTCGGTAAGAGCCTCTGATCAAGCCTGGGGCGCTGGGGGCTGCTGGGATGAGCGCTGTCGCATCCCGAGGGCTCCCGGAGGGAACTGTACCTAGCAGAGAAAACCGGGGCTGTCCAAGCTCCGCCTTGGAGGCTGTGTGACCTACAGCAAACACGTGGCCCTCTCTGAGCCCATTTCCTCATCTGTAACACAGAAGCCATGGTGCTCTCTTAGCTATAACAAGTAAGGGTTGAGTGTGAGTGACTGTACCACTCAACACAATGCCCAGTACAAGGTGGAGGTTCGAATAATGTCAACTGTTGCTGTAGAGTGTTGTCTTTAAGTGAGATAAAATGCGATCTGTAAACTTAAAGGAAGCCAGAAGCTACACTAAGGGCCCGGGAGATAGCTCAGTAGAATAAGTGCTTGTCTGGCAAGCGCAGGGTCCTGAGTTCAACTCCGGTACCGCAAAAAAAAAGGCAATAGAAGGTATACTAAGGGGCACGATAGGCTAATTGCTGACCTAGAGATGTGCGGATGATACTGTACTACACAAACACCAAGTAAGGAGCACTTAGCCCCGCCTTAAGCATTATGAGAGCACCTTCCAGAGAAGGTGGTGCTTAAATAGAATTGTGTATGGTAGTGTAAAATGTACAAAGTGCTTTCAGGCTCATGTCATTTGCTCATAAAATAGCCTTTTGAAGTAGGTGCTGTTATCCCATTTTACAGATGAGGGAATGCCTTTAGAGAGGGGGTGAAATGCCTGAGGCCACACAACTGGTTAAGTAGCCGAGACAGGGCTGCAACCCCAGGCTTGCGCCCTGGCAGGCCGAGGGTTAGGAAGGAGGAGCACTGGGGCACAGAGTGCAGTAGCGGGATAGTGGAGAGGGAGGTAAGGGGCACCGGCTCAGGTACTGGGGTACGAGAGGGAGAGGGAGGGGGAGAGACCGGCTAGGAGCCTTGTACGCATGCGCCCCTCACATCTGTGAAGACCCTGTGCAAAGCACAACCTGGCGCTGCTTGCCCAGCCTTTAAAATGTGGGTAATAGTGAACGTTTATACCTCAGGGGAGTCATTCTGGGAGTTCAGATTTATGGCTGGGCAAGAAGGCAGCTTGTGAACCATGGAGGCAGATGTCAACTTGTCTAACAATGGCATCTGCCCTTTAGCTGCTGCCATGCTGCTCTTGGGCTGGGGGCCAGGGAAGATTCCCGCCCTCCTCCCTCCATCATTCTCCTTTCCCTTCCTCTGCACACCCCCAGGAGGAGCTGGCACTGTGTGGCTCCAGGCTGCTGGTCTTGGGCTTCTTCCTGCTCCTTTTCTGTGGCCTTCTGTGTTGTATCTCCACTTCGTGCTTCCCCCTGCACCGCCGGGAGTCCCACTGGTCCAGAGCCCGGCTCTGAGGGCGAGGGTGGAGTCCTGCTTTCTCAGGTGAGATTCTTTGCCCCAGTCCTGTGGGAGTGGAGGTGAGGAAGTGGGGGAGGCGTTATAACTGGGGTACAGCAGACTCTTGGCATCGACCCTCGAATGATGCTTCTTTCCCCATTCTCCGAGAACCCTGCTGGATGAGCGATACCTGTCCCTGTAGGAAGTGGGAACAATTTACACCATAAGCACGCGATGTTTTTATTATATGAAATAGTTAACATTCATGAAGAAAAGTCCAGAAAAAATATAAATGTACAACCTAGCAAATTATCATAGATATTTATAAATATCACCAAGGAAAAAAGTGAAGTACTGGGCCGGGGAGATGGCTCAGTGGAATAAGTGCTTCCCTGGCAAGCGCAAGGGCCTGAGTTCAATTCTCGGTTCTGCCAAAAAAAAAAAAAAAAATGAAGTACTATCAACAACCCATCGTCCCTTCCTTCCTGAATATGACCTCTATCTAGAAGTAACTCTTTTTTTTTAAATTCTTTTTATATATTTAAATATTTATTTGGTATAGTGTCTCGCTATGCAGTTCAGGCTCCTAGCGATCCTCCTGTCTCAGCCTCCCCTGTACTGGGATTACAGGTGTGCACCACTAGCCTGGCTTCAGTGGCCAGCATGGTGCCAGGCTGGCATGCCCCATGCGGTACTAGGGATCAAACCTAGGTCCTTGCAGTTGCCAGGCAGGTGCTTATACTGCCCAGCTATCTTGCAGGCCCCCCTAGAAGTAACTCTTACCCATCTTTTTTTTTTGAAACACAGTCTTGCCTTGTAGTTCAGCCTGGCCTCAAATTCATGGTGATCCTCCTGCTTTAGCCTCCTCAGAGCTAGGGTATAGGCAAGCACCACTGTACCCAGCTGTAATCTCTTGGGACTGATTTATTTCAGGTAACATTCTGATTTTAAGACCCACCCAGAGCTATCCTTCACATCCATGCTTTTTGTAACAGTTGTGCGTTAGGCGGGCTAACTTTTATTTTTAGTTACTTATTTTGGTGGAACCGGGGCTTGAACTCAGGCCCTTGCGCTTGCCAGGGAAGCGCTTATTCCATTGAGCCATCTGCCCGGCCTTTTTTTTTTTTTTTTTTTTGGCGGAACCAGGGATTGAACTCAGGCCCTTGAGCTTGCCAGGGAAGCCCTTATTCCACTAAGCCATCTCCCCAGCCCTAGGAGGGCTAACTTTTGATGACTGGTCCTGGATACAAATCATCTTTTGTCTTGCTTTTGTCCTGAAATTCTGGAGTTCTTTTAGAATTATAGATCTTTATTTAAAAATCAGATCCATCAGTTTAGCATTTTTTTCTGATACCTAGTTGAATCAAGCAGATTTTGTAAAGTTCCACTTAATTAGAAGAATCTAATTAATGGTGCCCATTTACTGAGCACACAGTATTACGTGCCCAGGCACCTTACATGTACTCTGCCATTTGGTCACCATTTCATTACAAAAAAAGTTGATTTGAAGCCTGTAGTCTGAGCTACTGTTAAGGCTGAGGAAGGAAGATTGCAAGTTTGAAGTCAGCCTGGGCAACTAAGCAAGACCCTGTCTCAAAATAAACAGGCCAGTTGAGGTGATGTCCACCTTTAATCCCAGCGCTCAGGCTGAGGCAGGAGGGTTGCTGTGAGCGTGAGGCCAGCCTGGGCTATATAGAGAGATACTGTTTCACAAAAGATTAAATAAATAAAAATCAAAAGGTTAAGCCAGGGATATAGCTCAGCAGCATAAAGCACCTGCCTGGCACACGCAAGGTCCCAAGTTCAGTCCCCTGTACTGCCAAAAAATAAAAAAATCAAAGGTTGGGAATGTAGCTCAGCGGGAGGCCCTAAATTCAGTCCCCAGTACTGAAAAAACAAAATGATTCTGTCAATAACATCTTTGGAAAAAATTTGTTTCAAAAGGTAGCAGGAGGTAGAGTGGGCACGGTCTAACAAGTTCACGTCAGCTCATCAAGGAAAAAAATGATCTGCAAAAAATCTTCACCCTATCAGGAAGGTGACAAGTAACTTGACAACCCAGTTACACATGAGAACTTAAACCAGCCAGTCTCAACACCAGCTGGCCGCTGTGCCCTAGGAGATTAGTGTGGAAGAAGTGAAAACAGCAGGCCCAAGAAACTGCTCTGGCCAGAGAAACGGGAAGCTCTGGTTCAGCTCTACTAGTTCGCTCGAGCTAGCATCACTGACCCAACCACCTACTGAGACGGGAAGTGATGGAGCCTTCCCAGCCTGGGATTGGGAAGAAGGCTTTCTGGCCCCTAGCAGATCTTAGGGCCCCAAACCGCCTTGGTGAGAGATATTAAATACCTCATCAGTTGCTTCCGACTCTTCCTCCTCTAATCCCAAAACTGCACTTAGGGCCTCCCTGACCTGTCTTTTTTCCTTTTTTCTTTTCCCCTTTAGGTATGAATCAAGCTCTTGGGCCTTGGTTCTGAGATGGAAAACAAGTGAAGTGCTGGAACATGGGAGAAAATAAAAGGCACTTTTTTTGTTTGCCCAGTATTGCCTAAAATGTTTTGGGGATATTGGATTGAGTTCTAGTGTGTGTAGACAGGGTTGAGAAGTTTGGAGGACTTTGCTTGTTGACTCTAGTTTGGAGTACAGGTTGACACAGAGCTTAGGTCACTACAGCTCTTTCCATGGTTCCGACTTGACTTTGGAAAATACTTGGACTTGAGTCCAGCTTTTCGGGGTGGGGGAGTGAATTCACTAGAGAGTGAATCTAGAGCCTTCACACCGAGCTACATCCCCAGCTCTTTTTATCATCCAACCTGAGTCTTCTTAGCCCGGGATGGAGAGGAGTCACTAAATTGCCTGAGCTGGGCTGAAACCTGCAATCTCTGCCTCCCAGGGTACTGGGATTACAGGTGTGCAACGTTGCCTGGAACAGATCTACCATTTTGAGTTGTCTTCTACGCAATAAAATTGATAATTGCATTAGGTTTTGCGGGGTCGTGTGAGACCGAGGAAGTGCCTTTTCTATAAGTGCGCTGTGACCTTGTGCAAGTCATGCAAACACTTCAGGGCCTGTTTGCACTCAGGTCTTCCCAACATTGACATACAAAGATCGCTCGCACTTCACGGCCCAGGACGAGGCTGGATGGTTACTATCAGAGCGGTCCGTTTTCCCGCCTTTTCTGTGCCCAGCTGCGTTCCCTCGCGGCTCCCAGCATCTACCCTACACGCAGGCGTACATCGCGGCCTCTCCGCTTCCACCCGCACCCTAGCAAAGCTTCCCCTAGCAACAGGCTCCGGCACAGCGCGGGGGCGGGGCGAGCGCGTGCGCCGCAGCACTCTCCAGCGCCAGTCGCCCGCCGGCGCGCGGGGCTCCGCCCCCTCCAAGCCCGTCCTTTCTCCCCGCCCCCTCCCACCCAGGGTCCGCGTGGCGGGGCGCGCGCGCACTGGGCTCAGTGGCCGCCGGTCTCGCGGGCCGCAGCCGCGAGGACGGAGGGGCGGAGCTGTTTCCTCTGGGGCCCCGCCCCTTCGGCCCGGCGACCCATTGCGCCTGCGCGCTCCCGCCCGGTCTCCATCTTGGAATTGGGAGGAAGAGGGAGAGGGAGGTCGGGACGAGAACGGGGCTGTGGTGCGGAGGGAAGCTGAGACGGAGAAGGCAGAGGGAGAGGGCGCGGGGACCGTCAGCATCGCCTTAGCTATAGTCTTCCGTCTACCCTCGGGAGAGAGGAGAGAAAAGGGCGGAGGCCAGGGCGGGAGTGGGGGCTGTCATCCTCGGACCTGGGGTGAGAGGGGCCGTGCGGCCGGACGTCCTCGGGGTGGGCCCCCTGTCGGTGGCCGCAGACCTGGGGCTCAGGCCCGCAGGTCCCAAATCTCCAAGCTTGGCCCCTCGTTTCCCAGATACCCAGGTATCAGCTCTTGTATTTCAGATATCCAGGACTTGGATCCCAACCTCTTTAAACCTGGGTCTCTGTTTTATAGAATTTTCAAATATCTGGGGTTCAGGCCCCTGTGTGCCTCAGAGTCCGGGGTTCACTCCCCAGGCGTTCAAATACCGGATTCATTTTGTCGCCTTGCAAATATACGGGGTTCAGACCCCAGGATCAGAAATCCGGGATCGCCCTCGAATTGGGGAAGGGCTGGACAGCGAGGTCAGATCAGGTTGTCACCCCCTCCCCTCCAGGGGAGGCTTCCCGGGTCCGCCCCTCAGGAAGGGCGAAAGCCGAGGAAGAGGTGGCAAGGGGAAAGGTCTCCTTGCCCCTCTCCCTGCTTGGCAGAACCGCTGGAGGACCCCAGGCGGAAGCGGAGGCGCTGGGGCACCATAGTGACCCCTACCAGGTGAGACACGGGGTGCAGGGGCGCGGGTCCCTGTGTCTAGCACTGAAAAGAAAGGCTACTCCCTTCCGAGAAGCTGTGCCTGGATAGGCCCTCTCCTCAGGGTGGGAAAGCCCAGCTGAGCCGTGGTCAGCCTCTGGCTAGCTTTGCCTTCTGTTGTCACCCTCTTCCCCTTCCTCTTCCCTCCATTGTGTCTGGTTGATGGGAGACTTCAGATGACAGGGTGTCTGATGTCACCGGGGTCACACCCTAGGGTGTTTGAGCTAATCTGATCAACCCTTCGATCTTCTCCCCTGCCCACTGCCCCTCACAGGCACCTCTTCTCTTCCATGATTTTCCCTTTTTCCTGTATGCTCTGGGGGTGTTGATGCCCATGCCTGTGGTTGCCATGGTGGGTCTGCTTATCTGCTTTTCAGACCTGGTCTGGTTGGATTTTTACCCTTGCAAGGAAGTGTGTATGAAGTGGGGTGCTTGGCAGTATTTTCCCTCAGCTAGTTACCCTCTTGTTCTACCTCTTGCTATGACTGTATAATCTCATACACTGTCAAGGAATCTGCCCCTTAAAAAGTACTTTCAGGTACATTCTCTCATGTGACATCCTCCAGTCACCCTGTGGGAGTATTTGATTGTTGTCTTCCCATTTTACAGCTGTGAACACTGAGGCCCAGAAAGGTTGCCCAAGGTCACACAGTGGCAGAATCGGGATTATTTACCCAAGTCCCCCACCAAGTCTTGGCCCAGATCCTTGGTTTTTTGCTGTCTTTTTTTTTTTTTCCTCCTGACCCTGGATTTGGACCAGGACCTATAGGAAAATGAGTTAGGGTGAGTTTTAGAAATGGTAAGCACAAAGTGAGTTTCCTTTCCAGGAGGGATATACTCTGGGAGCATTTCCTGACGGGAGGCTGGCTTCGGTGGCTCCCTTACAGATCTTTTCTTTCCACTGTGACCTTCATCTTTATCCTGATCCCAGACTTTGCCTGGGTTCCAGATAGGGCTCTGTCTGATAAATGATGGCCCTAGTGCTTTCTCTTAAGTTAAAGCCAAGTTAGGAGTAGGGGCATTCGTTCCCAAAAGATTAAAGCTTTGTGGCCACCCTGAAAGCAGGAAAGGAAAAACAAAATCCTCTGTAGGGTATCTACATAGTGTCCTGAGTGTGAGATCTCATTAAAATCTCCCAGCAGCCCCGTGCTGTGATGTATTTAACTAAAGAGACCGAGAAGTATAAGGAACTTCAAGTCCTGTTGCTGTGCATTGCAGATGGGGTACATTGCTGTACACTTGGGCATATTTCCTCATCAGAATGGAGTTAGCATTATTCGTTTTGGAAGGTGGTTATGATTTACACAGGCCTTGGTAATTGCTCGAGTGTTTTATTATTGGGAGGGAGGGGACCTGTGTGATGCATTGCAAGTTCCTGGCGCCCCTTTCCTGTGGCCTGGGGTCCTGTGCTTTTGGGCCCAGTGCTGATAAAGAGGTCAGGAAGATTTCCTTGACATGTTGTGAGCACCTGCCTTTGTGTGTGGGTGTGTGGTGCGGGTGACGGGTGCGTGGCACCGTTGCTGGCACAGAAGAAAGAAGAGGCCCTGCTTCAAGCAGCCTAGGTGCTGCTGAGGGCAATCAATCAATCTTGCAGGCTATTTTGAGCCCTCTGCACCCTGGGGGCCCACTGGAAAGTCAGGCTCCCTTCTTGTCCCCCAGCTTCCAGTTGGGATCAGGAGACAAAATTAACAACACAACAGGAAACAATGCATGGCAGAATATAATTACATGCTAAAATTGTTAGGTGCTTTGAAGTAGCTAGAACTCTGCCCAGGGAGCCCAGCTCCGCTGAAGCTCCTTTGTGCCTATATTCTGACAGGTGCTGAGCTGCAAGTCTGTCCTGGAATCTCTTGAAGTTTCTGGTTCTGTAACCCTGCAGGAACTTCATCTGGGCATCTGGGTGGGTGCCCTGGGTGGTCCCCCACAAGGGCTGGAGTGGTCCGGAGAGGCTTCCTGCAGGAGGGGGCTGAGCATGCAGGCCTGACTAGGGGGAGGAGAAGCTCCTGATCGCTGGCCTTGGAGTTCCTTTTCCTCTGCCTCAGTGACTGCATCTGGGAAATGGTGATCCTTCTTTTGCCCTACTGGATTCATAGAGCTATTCTGAAAGCATAGTGGAAAGGAGCCAGCTCTGAGGAAGTCACTTAACTTTCTGAGCCTGTTTCCTCATCTGTAGAAGGGGGATAATAGTGCATGCCTCATAAGGTTGTGGTGAGGCTCGAATGGCAGGTGGCCCATGTGGGATGCTTACTGTCCATGGTGAGTGTGCCTTGTTTGTACCTCACAAAGGTCCCGCACAACTGGACGAGTAAGGCAGTCCAGAACAGAAAGGCGCTCAAAGCCAGATGCCTTTCCATTTGTAATTCTATCTTTCGCATTCTGGATCACCCTGCCACAGTGTCCCTACCCTTTTGAGAGTAAGCCTCCTAGCCCCCTCCAGGCCAGTACCCACTTACCACAATGGCCGGATTTCCACCACCTCCGGCCTGGCCCTTTCCTGTTCTCTTATACAGTGTAAGAGGTTGAAGGAGCATGGGGCCTCAACACCAGGGGGAGCAGGAAGGTGCCTGGAAATCACTGGAGAATGGGACTTGCAGGAAAGAACACATGGGGATCTGGAGTTGGGGCTAGGAGACAGAAACATGGGTTGTAGGGAAATGGGAACTTGTTGAAGGCTGAGGGGGTTGGTGAAGATGCTTCGCTTCCTAGAGTCTTCCTAGCAGTTTTAGGGACTCCAGGGACCTGGCCCCCGTGATCTGGTTGCCAAGGCAACTTCATTTTTTTGGAGCTTTGATGTTTCTAATCTCCCCTGTCCTTCCTCAGCAGTGCCTCCCCCTCAGCAATGAATGAGAGGAGGAGAAGACAGGAACTTGAGGGGCCCCTTCCTCTCCCTGAGAGCCCTGCCTTGCTCTAAGGCTCCCATCTGCCTTCTGCAGGCTAGGCCCCACTCTCAGGGCCCCCTGGGGCCACCATGCCAGCTGGGGGCCGGGCCGGGAGCCTGAAGGACCCTGATGTGGCTGAGCTCTTCTTCAAGGATGATCCTGAAAAGCTCTTTTCTGACCTCCGGGAAATTGGTCATGGCAGCTTTGGAGCTGTGTACTTTGTGAGTTGGGGATAAGGGGAGGGAAAGTGGGGGTTGGGATGCTGTTCTTAACCCTGGGAGTGTGCATATAGCCTTTCCATCCTTTCCTGTTGGGACATCCAGTCCTCAGTTCCTCTGTGTTTAGCAAGGGTCTTTACTGTTTTCTGCTCTGGTTCTATAGGCCCGGGATGTCCGTAATAGCGAGGTGGTGGCCATCAAAAAGATGTCCTACAGTGGGAAGCAGTCAAATGAGGTGAGTCAGACTCAGAAGGCTCCTACTAGTGGTGCGGGGGGGGGGGGGGCAGTCCAAGAGGCAGGCTAGGTAACCCCTCTTCTCTTCCCCTCCTCCTAGAAATGGCAGGACATCATCAAAGAGGTGCGGTTCTTACAGAAGCTCCGGCATCCCAATACCATTCAGTACCGGGGCTGTTACCTGAGGGAGCACACAGCTTGGGTGAGCTGGTCCCCTACTTGTGTTTAACTTGTCCTGGTCCAGTCTCTTCAGTGAGCCCTGTTCAGAGTGCCATTTTGAGATCTTGGGAAGGAAGAATTCCGTCGAGGCCACTTTAATTCTTCAACAAATTTGAGTAGCAGGGTTAGTCCCAGAGAGTGCTGTTAGCAGCTGGAAGAAAGCCTTTGGGTTGGAGGAAGTAGCGATAGATGGGGATGTAAAGGGGTCCAGATAAGAGTGATAGTGTATTGGTTTTTTTCTAGGAGAGACCTTCACTCCAGGATCTGTCCCACCACCCCTCTTTTTCTCCAGTGGGCCCTTCCTCCCTGTCATGACCTTAGGGTCATCACCTGAGTAGAATATAGGCAAGGAGGCTGTTTTGAGTTTATACTCAAGAGGTGGGCCATGGGTGGCTCGGCTCAGCTGATCTCTAATGCTTGACCCTTCCGTAGCTGGTGATGGAGTATTGCCTGGGCTCAGCTTCTGACCTCCTAGAAGGTAAGTGCCTCCTTGGCCTGTATGTAGGCTGAGCAAGAGCAGAGGAACCATAGGAGAAGGGATAAAGGAGACTTGTTCTAGTCACCCCTGTGGTCTCCATCAGCTTGGTGCTTTTCCTCCCTTAGTGCACAAGAAGCCCCTTCAGGAGGTGGAGATTGCAGCTGTGACCCACGGGGCGCTTCAGGGCCTGGCCTACCTGCACTCCCACAACATGATCCACAGGTACGGTGGTCCCAGCAGCACTGGGTGAAGTGCTCTTACGTGGGTCCTCACGTCACTGGTCTGTAGCGTTTGCCTGGCTTCTTGGACACATGTCTCATCCCTGTACTTTGTTCTTGCAGGGATGTGAAGGCTGGAAATATCCTGCTTTCAGAGCCAGGCCTGGTGAAGCTAGGGGACTTCGGCTCCGCATCTATCATGGCACCTGCCAACTCCTTCGTGGGCACCCCATACTGGTGAGGGAGAGTGGTGGTGAGTGGAGAAAGCTCCCCAGTTGTCTGGAGTAGACATGGCAGGGCCTGGGCGGATGATTAGCCTCTCTCTCCTGACCATTCTCCCAGGATGGCTCCGGAGGTGATCCTGGCAATGGATGAGGGGCAGTACGATGGCAAAGTGGACGTCTGGTCCTTGGGGATAACCTGCATTGAACTGGGTAAGGAGGCCCTCCTCTCTGCTCACTCTTCCTCTTCCTGATTCCATTCTGCTACGGTCCCTCCTAGGATTGGACTCCAAGCTCCTTTCCTTTTTTTTTTTCTTCAGAACCAGGGATTGAACTCAGGCCCCTGCACTTGCCAGGCAAGCGCTTATTCCAGAGCCATCTCCCTGGCTCCTGCTCCTTTCCATTTTGATGGTCCCCTAGGACCCCATTATAAGCAGCTGTCAAATCTCATCAATTCTTAGACTTAATGGTTTTGTATCAGTCGTCACATTGAGTGTGCACTTTGTGGCACGCACTCTCCTAGGCTCTGGGGGCATAGTAGTGAATAGCATCCCTACTCTCTAGGAACATAGGTTTGAGCAGGAGGACCCAGGGGTGTTTTGTCACTATGATGAAAGCTGAATGGAAAAATGCAAACATAAAACAAGGGACTTTACCTAGAGTAGGTGCTGAAAAAGGCCTCCTTGTGGCAGAGATGTTTAAAGAGACGCACACACACATACACACCCAGACGTACAAGACAAATAATAACTGTTGGAAGGAAGGGTTAAGGGAAGAGCATTCCGGGAGCAGCATGTGCGGAAGTCTAGAGGTCTGAGTGGGCACAGGCACCTGAGGCTGGCTTCGCTTGTTTGGAACTGAAGCATGTACTGCCGCGTAGTGACAAGGCCCTAGAGAATTCGTGAGTCCTCGAAGCCATGTCAGGGTTCTCATCTTTGCCAGCTTACACTACTAAAACAAATGTGTGATGAGGTAGTGTTTATAACACCCCCCACCCCAGCACAGCGCCAGGCGGAAACAGTTGCCCAAGAAATAGTTGCTTTTGTTTATGCTTCTTATCCGAAGTCTCAGGCAGTAATCTGTACTGCTTCCAGTTTCTGTATGTGCTGGAAGGTATCTACCCCACAGATGCCTGCCTAAGCTCAGCACAGTTATCTCGCCGCCCTCCCGGAGCCATTAGTGACTCCCCCTTGTCTGCAGGACTGTGGTCATCCCTACTGTTCCTTATACCAGGCCAAGCAGGGGAAAACGGCTGATCGGTCCATTGTGCTGCTAGTTTTTGGTAGAGATATGAGTGCACGTTAATGAGTAAGGGATCAAGCTTCATAAGTGGCAACCGATATTCAGAGACCTTTTTAGAAAAGCAAGATAGGGGAGGGCATGACAAACCAGAGATGGCTATTCTCATCGGAGGAGAGCTTAGCTCCAGGAGCAATATAAGCTGCTTTGACCAGATCTAATTTTTTATTTTTTTATTTTTGTTTTTTGGAGACAAGGTCTTGCTGTGTAGCCCATGCTAGTGAAGTCTTGCAGTGATCCTCCTGCCTCAGCCTCCTGAGTGCTGGGGATACAAACATGCCCTACTATACCTGGCTTTGATCTGATTTTGTTAACAGTAGAAATTTAGGTTATTATTGTTGGCAATGAATTTTTAAAATTACCGTTTAGGCCAAAGCATGATCATCATAGAACAAGAAGCCCTTGGCCTGCAGCATGTAATTTAAACTCCCTCCAGGAACCCTTTTTCCAGAAGCCCTTTGAATCCTCACCGATGCACGAGCTTGAAGTCCCGCCAGGTTCCCGCGGCTCCTGCCGCTCACTGCCCTCCGTCTTGCCCAGGGATGCCTGTTGCTTGATGGCCTATTTAAGCTTCCATTTTGACTGGAAGTTCCTTGAGGGCTGAACCTACTTCTTACTCTTTATCTTCCCTTCTTTAGCAAATTTTGGGTTTTTTCTTTTTTAATGTATTTAGGACAGTGTCTACAGGGTCTCACTACCCAGATGGAACTCAGTGAGTCTCCTGTTTTCAGTCTCCCAAGCTCTGGGATTACAGGTGCATGCCACCATGCCCAGTCTCACTTGCCATCTCAGCTTGCCCCAGGGGTGGGGCCAGCGCCGCCATGCCACGCCTCGAACCCTAGCCACTGTACTCTGCCTAAGCAGGTGCTTTCGTCTGCTGAGCTCTCTGGCTGGCCCTTTTAGCAAGGTTTTGTTCTCGCGTGGTGCCTACTCACTAGCTGAGCTGATACCTACAGCTTATAAATGGACTTGGTTCTGCTGCTTTTTTTTTTTTTTTGTCACCAAGAATTGAACTCAAGACCTCATTCTTACCAGGCAGCGCTGTGCCGTGGAGCTATATCCCTGGCCCCTCTGCTTATTTTATAATCCTTTTGTGAATGTTATTTTCGCTAATATCTACTGCATCTAAGGGCAAGGAAATGGATGGGGGTTGTGTTTTACAGAGGAAGAAATTGAGACTAAATAGGGTTATGAGAATTGTCCAAGGTCATGCAGCCAGGAGCACAGCCTGAAACCCAAGCCTCTGAGCTCTGTTCTGGTGGTCTCTGCTCACCTCCTACCTCTCCCCTTCTCCTTGACCTTTCTCTAGCGGAACGGAAACCACCACTGTTTAACATGAATGCGATGAGTGCCTTATACCACATTGCACAGAATGAGTCCCCCGTGCTCCAGTCAGGACACTGGTGAGGACTGGGGTTCCTGGGCCTAGGGGCAAGGCTGTGGGCTCAGGCTCTTTGGCTGTGTCCTCCTTACTTGTTACCTGCTGTCTCCCCTTACAGGTCTGAGTACTTCCGGAATTTTGTTGACTCCTGTCTTCAGAAAATCCCCCAAGACAGGCCAACCTCAGAGGTTCTTCTAAAGGTGAGGGCTTGTGGGCCAAGCACCCTCTTGTAACTGGCACCACAGAGCAGGAGAACCCTCGATGACGTGGGGGTTTCCAGTTCTCCATTGAGAGCTTCACTTAGGAATTCCCACCCCTGTCTCCAATGCCATGGACTGTGTGTTTTATAAGACTTTTTTTCTCCCCTCCCCTTCCCTCCCAAGACTTTTTTTCATTAGCTTATTAATTTGTTTTTCCATCTTTCATTAATCAAAGGTATATAATTGCCAACCAGAGCTTCTGATCAGCTATTTGGTAACCAGGGTTACCATACTGATGTAATTCAAGCAAAAACCTATGTAGTTTTGTCATGAGTAAATGTATGACTTCCTTTAGATGTGTTTAAAGTTAACAAGCATAGGGGGATCCCATTCCCTTCCCCATGCATGGAGACCTAGAGAGCCTTAGGTGAGAACTTTGTCTAGCTTGACCTCCTTGGTTTTGTTTTTTGGGGGTTTTGTTTGTTTCTCACTGTGTAGTTCAGCCTGGCCTTCAACTCATGATAGTCAGTCCCCCTGCCTCAGCCTCTAGCCTACTTGTTATACAGTTGTTGGCTACCTTATGCCCAAAGAGGCCTCGTGACACATCCACTGTCACATAGGATTTTGGTAGTAGAGCTGGACTGGTATCAGATTTTCTGTAGTACGTGTCAGTCATGCTTGGAGAAACAGGAGACTATAGAGTAGAGACCAAATGGTGAAGAAAATTACTGTGGGAGGAAGGCTTGAGACAGATCAACAACAAAGCACGATGGCATGGGCCCAGTGGAGGGCATCAGGCCAGGGCAGCCATGGAGAGCCGCGGGTTGGCGGGCTAGTGGCAGATCTCACCGTTCTCTTCCCCTAGCACCGCTTTGTGCTCCGGGAGCGGCCACCCACCGTCATCATGGACCTAATCCAGAGGACCAAGGATGCCGTGCGGGAGCTGGACAACCTGCAGTACCGCAAGATGAAGAAGATCCTTTTCCAGGAGGCACCCAATGGCCCTGGTGCTGAGGCTCCCGAGGAGGAAGAGGTAATGCAGCTTCGCCTTGCACCTTCTTTGTGGGCTTTATTCTCCATGCTGGGCTGTGACCCAAGACCTCCTCCACCATTCTTCACATCCTTTTATCTCCTTGTCCTGCCCCTATGCCTTTGCCTTCCCTGCAAAACAGCCCACACCCTGTTCACAGGAGGCAGAGCCCTACATGCACCGGGCAGGGACGCTGACCAGTCTAGAGAGTAGCCACTCAGTGCCCAGCATGTCTATCAGCGCCTCTAGCCAGAGCAGTTCGGTCAACAGCCTAGCAGATGCCTCTGACAATGAAGAGGAGGAGGAGGAGGAAGAGGAGGAGGAAGAGGAGGAAGAAGGCCCTGAAGCCAGGGAGATGGCCATGATGCAGGAAGGGGAGCACACAGTCACCTCACACAGCTCCATCATCCACCGACTTCCGGTATGCTGCGCAGTCTGTGTGGGTCTGGGGGAACAGGCAACCAGACCTGAGCTGTCCTGCTAAGGAATCGCCTGGGTCCCTGCTTTCCTCCTCAGTGGGACCGCTCCTTCTCTAAGTCTGAATGGGCCTCTGAGCTTTGGGTATCCCATGTACCTTCCTTCATCCAGGGCTCTGACAACCTGTATGATGACCCCTTCCAGCCAGAGATAACCCCGGGCCCTCTCCAACCACCTGCAGCCCCAGCTCCCACTTCCACCACATCTTCTGCCCGCCGTCGGGCCTATTGCCGTAACCGGGACCACTTCGCCACCATCCGGACCGCCTCCCTGGTGAGTGTGGCTGTCCTCACTCCGCCTGCTTGCTGTGCTTTCTGCATTGGCTGGGTGCTCCACGGCGTCTTTTCTAAGCCCAGAGATGACTTTGTCCTAGTCACATATGATTAAGTCCAGATTCTACCCTTACTCTGTTGCTGTCTCATCTGCTTTTCTTCTCGGTCCTTCCTGCTCCCTTCTCCCAGCAGACTGCTTTGGTTTGCCCCCATTCAGGGTGTTTTTACCTTGGTAGACTTACTGTTGTGTTCACAGCCTGGCTGAAGTGACATGTGGAGCCTCCCCAGGCTCCTGGCCAGCTGGGTACTTCTCTCCCTGTGCACTTTGAGCCCTGCTGTGATGCTCACAGTGGCATTTGCAGGTTTGTGGGATTCTGTGCCACAGGCTGGGAGTGTTGTTCAGGGACCTGCCTCATGTCAATGTGCATGTACTTAATCTCCACCTGCCCTGGGAAGAAGGGCAGGTCCCATCTGAGAGATGAAACCCCTGGGGCTCAGACGGGTTGCCTGCCCATGTACTTGTAACAGGACCCAAAAACGTAAGCAGCACCTTCGTCCTCTCCCAAAATCAAGTTATGCAGTCTTTTTCTAAGGTCATAGGAAAATGTGTTAGAGGTTAGATTTTGCGTACAGTGTAGCTTTTATTAACATGTAGGTTAGGGGCTGGGGAGATGGCTCAGAATAAGCGCTTCCATGGCAAGCGCAAGGGCCTCAGTTCAATCCCCGATTCTGCCCCCACCGAAAAAAATGTAGGTCACATTGTCACTTAAATGAGTTTGAGTAGCACCGGTCCCCTCGGAGGCACTAGGTGGGTCTGTCATGCTGCACGGCCTCTGCCTGTGGCAGCAGCTCTGCGAGGGCGCCTCTTCAGCTCCCGGGTGCTTTGTGTTGGGCACCGGGATCTCTGGGGCCTGGGCCACTGGCCTAAGCCGAGAGCCCCTAACGGAGCAGTTGAGAACAGGGCACGTGTGAAGACATCCCGGTCCCCCCTTGCACCTGTGTACTGAGGGGAAGGCCATCAGCGTGTACTTGTTCGGGGGATCTTAATGCTACTCTGTGTATCAGATCTGTCTAGGCAGCTACCTAGGAGAACGTGGTGTCACCCTGTGTAGTCGATAGGGAAGTGACACTGTGAGAAGTTAACTTTCTTTTTTTTTTTTTTTGCTTTTTTTTATTTATTTTTTATAACAATAAAATTCTTCATAGGAAAATTTGCATGGGTTTAGGTACACAATCTCTGTACAAGTATAGGCAGACTTCATCAGATTTGTACTATCACATACATATGTTATATTTATGTAGTATTTCAAAGCTTGTAGACCAAAAATGTTATTTTTTTTTTCAATAATACACTGCATACATTCTTCCCAGTGGTTAATTGCTGTACAAGATGCAGACCTGGGATCCTACTTACAAACACCATTAGAACAAATCATTCTATTCATTAAGAGAATGCAACTATATATCTATCCCAACCACTTTGAATACACAGATACAAAATGGACATTCATAGTTATATCCAAATTTTTTTAAGTTCTTTTGTTGAATATTCTAGGTGTGTAAACTCAGCAAAATATTCCAAAAGAGTCCAGTAGCTCATAATAGCATTGGGTCCTCTGTTTAACTGGCAATGTCAGAAATTATTGACCTGAGTCCCCCACAGCTCAACTTAAAGAAGTTAACTTTCTTGCGATCACATGAGTAGAGCTAGGCTGTGGGCCTGGGTCTGTCCACTTCATTCTTTTGCACTAACCTGACTCATCGCTGTCTCCTGCCAAGCCCAGAGCTCACCACCTTTTCTCATCTCATTCAGTCACACCTGGCTCAGTGCAGTAGATCATATGTCACTGAGTGTTCGGGGAAACAGGCTCAGAGAGGCTGAGTGTGAGGAAGGTACTCCATGAGGTTGCATGATCTGCATGAGGCAGTGGGGGCTGGAATGAGCCTCATTTGTCCTCGCTCCCACCCCAGGTCAGCCGCCAAATCCAGGAACATGAGCAGGACTCGGCCCTGCGGGAGCAGCTCAGTGGCTACAAGCGGATGCGGCGACAGCACCAAAAGCAGCTGCTGGCTCTGGAGTCGAGGCTGAGGGGTGAACGTGAGGAACACAGTGCACGTCTACAGCGGGAGCTTGAGGCGCAGCGGGCTGGGTTTGGGGCTGAGGCAGAAAAGCTGGCACGGCGACACCAGGCTATTGGTGAGAAGGAGGCTCGAGCTGCCCAGACAGAGGAGCGGAAGTTCCAGCAGCATATCTTAGGGCAGCAGAAGAAGGAGCTGGCTGCCCTGCTGGAGGCACAGAAGCGAACCTACAAGCTTCGGAAGGAACAGCTGAAGGAGGTGGGCTGGGGCTACTGCAGGGGCAGGCCAGTGGGGGCAGGTGGGCAGGCCACCCTGAGCCTGCGCTTCCCACTATTCTTGCCAGGAACTCCAGGAGAACCCCAGCACCCCCAAGCGGGAGAAGGCTGAATGGCTGCTCAGGCAGAAGGAACAGCTCCAGCAGTGCCAGGCAGAGGAAGAAGCGGGGTTGCTGCGGCGGCAGCGGCAGTACTTCGAGCTGCAATGTCGCCAATATAAGCGCAAGATGCTGCTGGCCCGTCACAGCCTGGACCAGGATCTGCTGCGAGAGGTGGGCTAGCCGCTGCCCTTCAGCCTGGGCTCAGTCGTGGCTTGCAGTGCTCCCCTCTCTCCATTCCATTTTCCTCGCCCTTGCCTTCTCTCCCTTCTCCCTTGGTGGTGGTGTTACCACTTCTCGACACTCCTCTTGCTTTCTGTGTGGGACCTTGCCAAATGGCGTTAGCTTCGGTTTCCAGGCCAGGCAGGTGCTCGCTGGTACTGCTACTCCCTTCCAAGCCACCCCAGCTCCCTGGGTTCCTACTTCCATGATATCAACAAGATTCTTTGACTAGGCTCTGGGCCTTGCCTCTGTTCTACCTCAGGACTTGAACAAGAAACAAACACAGAAGGACTTGGAGTGTGCGCTGCTGCTGCGGCAGCATGAGGCCACCCGAGAGCTGGAACTGCGGCAGCTGCAGGCCGTCCAGCGCACACGAGCTGAGCTCACCCGCCTGCAGCACCAGACAGAACTGGGCAACCAGCTGGAGTACAACAAGCGACGTGAGCAAGAGTTGCGGCAGAAACATGCAGCCCAGGTTCGCCAGCAGCCCAAGAGCCTCAAAGTACGTGCAGGCCAGCGCACCCTGGGGCTCCCCATTACTGGGGCTCTGGGACCACCCAGCACAGGCTCCCCTAGTGAAGAGCAGCCCTGCTCATCTGGCCAGGAGGCAGTCCTGGACCAAAGGATGCTGGGAGAGGAGGAGGAGGAGGAAGCAGTACCAGAGAGAAGGATTCTGGGAAAGGAGGGGGCTACCTTGGAGCCAGAGGAGCAAAAGATATGGGGGAAAGAATCAGGAACCCTTAGTGCTAACCCACAAAAACCTCAGAATCCAGTTAATGAGGAAGACTGGGAGCTACCTGAGGAGGAGATAGAGGAGCTTAGAGTTCCATCGCTGGTGGCCGAGGAGAGGAGCATTGTTGGTCAGGAAGCAGGCGGGGCCTGGGGGCTGTGGGAGAAGGACAGGAGCCTTCTGGATGAGGAGTTTGAACTCGACTGGGTCCAGAGCCCAGCACTGACTCCAGTCCCTGAGGAGGAGGAAGAGGAGGAGGAAAGGGCCCCAGTTGGGACCCTCAGGGATCCTGGTGATGGCTGTCCCTCCCCAGACATCCCCCCAGAGCCCCCTCCACCACATCGGAGGCCCAGCCCTCCTAGCCAGCTCACTGGCCTCCTGTCTCACGGCCTCCTGGCCGGCCTTTCCTTTGCTGTGGGGTCTTCCTCGGGCCTTCTGCCCCTGCTCCTTCTGTTGCTGCTGCCACTGCTGGCGGCCCAGGGCGGGGGAGGCCTGCAGGCAGCACTGCTGGCTCTTGAGGTGGGGCTGGTGGGCCTCGGAGCCTCCTACCTCCTCCTTTGTACAGCTCTGAACCTACCCCCCAGTCTGTTCCTACTCCTGGCCCAGGGCACCGCTCTGGGGACCGTCCTGGGCCTAAGCTGGCGCCGAGGCCTTCTGGGTGTCCCTCTGGGCCTTGGAGCTGCCTGGCTTCTAGCTTGGCCAGGCCTAGCTCTACCTCTGGCAGCTATGGCAGCTGGGGGCAAGTGGGTGCGGCAGCAGGCCCCCCGGATGCGCCAGGGTATCTCTCGACTCTGGCTGCGGGTCCTGCTTCGCTTGTCACCCATGGTCTTCTGGGCCCTGCAGGGCTGTGGGGCTGTGGGGGACCGAGGCCTGTTTGCACTGTATCCCAAGACCAATAAGGATAGCTTCCGTAGCCGCCTTCCTGTCCCTGGGCCCCGGCGGGGCAATCCTCGAGCTGCCCGACACCCACTTGCCCTGATGGCACGGGTTTGGGCTCTGTGCAAGGGCTGGAACTGGCGCTTGGCCCGGGCCAGCCAGGGACTGGCCTCCCACTTGCCCCCCTGGGCCATTCACATCCTGGCCAGCTGGGGCCTGCTCCGAGGTGAACGGCCCAGTCGGATTCCCCGGCTGCTGCCACGCAGCCAGCGCCGGCTTGGGCCCTCTGCATGCCGCCAGCCACCGTCAGGGACTTTAGCTGGGCGGAGATCGCGGACCCGCCCGTTGCGAACCCTGCCTCCTTGGAGGTAACCAGCTCGCGCCTGCCCCCCGCCCAAATCTAGAGCATCGAGCACTTTATCTCCCACCACTCAGTGACGTTCCTCCAGTCACGGTCCTCTCGTCCCTCACTCCCCTCCTCCCTCAGCACGCATCTCCCCAAGCACAGCACCTCCAACTTCTAGACAGGCAGCCCCTGCACTGTGGAGTCCAGAAGCCACACTCTGTGTCCTCCCGCTCCCCCTAAGTTATTGCTGCTCCCCCGCTGTGTGTGTGCTCATTCTCACCCTCATCGACTCAGGCCTGGGGCCAGGGGTGGAAATGGGTGGGAAGAGTCATGACTGGTTTGGTTTTTTTTCTCCTCTTTGATTTTGTTTTTCTGTCTCCCTTCCAACCTGTTTCCCTTTACCCCACCAAAAGAGAAAAGAAAAGAAAAAGACAAACACAAATAAAATATCTGAGCGGAACTGTACCTTTGGCCCAGGCTGCCTCTGTCTGCTTTGTCCTGCCGCCTAGCCTCCCTGGTTTGCCCCAGTCTGGACCCTTGGCCCCAGCTCCATGACCTCCACCCCATCTACGTCTCAATCCCTTTCACCCTCAGCCTCATCTTCTCTGCCTTCATAGCTTCATCACACCACGGCCACCACCAGCCCTGGCTCGGCCCATGTGGAGCTCTCACAGGTGCTTCCTGGGCGCACTGGGCCCCTTTCTGTGGCTCGCTTCCAGAGAGCCCTTTCGGGTGCAGGTCCTTTAGCCTTCTCGTCTGCTACGTTCTCTACCAACCCATTGCTTATGTGGACCCCTTTTGTTCTGGAGCTGTATCTCTCCCGTATCAGGCATTAGCCTAGAGGGTTGGGGGACGGGGTGCAAACCCTCCACGGGCGAGGGTGGTGAGCTGGGTCCAGGCAGAGTGCGGGCCCTGGGACTGGAGTGGTTGTGGGCTTGGAGCTGGAGCTGAGCGCGAGAGGGCCAGGCTGGAATGTGGACGTAGTCAGGGTGGCCTCTTGGATTTCCAGGCCCTTTCTGGCCACACTTCCTTTTAGTGGCCCGGGATAGGGCCACCCCTTCTTGCCCAGCTCAGTGTCTTCTGCCCTGCCTCCTTTCCCGAGGTGGTGGACCTGGGCCTTCTCTGTCTGCCCTTAGTTGTGCTGCCTTCTCCTGTGGGTGTTTGTGTGACTTGCATTCTCCTCATTCCTTTGCACATTTTTATATTTGCTTGTGTGCTTCTATCCCAAGGTCATTTTGCTTTCCTCTTTGCATGGTCAAAGCTTCTTTTGTGCAATCCGACCTCTAAAGAGCTCCTTGTCCTCGAACTCCAACGTTCCTCCTTGTATTTCACCCAGCTCTAGACATGCTCTCAGAATCTGTCTCACGCTCCGTGTCTCTTGCCCGTCAAGACTTTCCTGATCTCTCAGCACGATCCCATCTCCGTATCTGTCTGTGTACAGCTCCCCCCGCCCCCTCTGTCTAACATGTTTTCTGTTTCTCTCCCTCTCCCTGTCTCTGCTTCTGTCTCCTCTCCTCTTCTCTTCTCCCCGTTTCCCCCGGTTGTTCCTCCTCCTTCCTCCTCCTCTCCTTCTCCTGTGCCCGTTTCCCCTTGACCCGTCCACTGCGCAGTCTAAAGAGCTGCAGATCAAGAAGCAGTTCCAGGAGACGTGTAAGATCCAGACCCGGCAGTACAAGGCTCTGCGGGCGCACTTGCTGGAGACCACGCCAAAAGCCCAGCACAAGAGCCTGCTCAAGCGGCTCAAGGAGGAGCAGACCCGCAAGCTGGCGATCTTGGCTGAGCAGTATGACCAGTCCATCTCAGAGATGCTCAGCTCGCAGGCGGTGAGGCCTGGGGGCTCGGAGGGAGGACAGGGAGAGACTGGCCTCTAGTTAGGGGCAGTGGAACGCGGGAGGTGCGGGCCGAGGTGGGGCTTTTGTACTTGAGAAGCTGGGCTACAGTGTCACTGTTAGTTTTCTCTGCAATGATTTTATTACTTTCTCTTCTTAATGGTGCTATTATTTCTCTTAGTATTTCCTTAAGGTCTTGACAAAGGCATCCTGACTACCAAGAATCATCAAGGGAAAGAGTGGCTGTAGAGTTTTCCTTAAGCTAGTTTAACTTGTGAACAGGGAGCAGATTACGCTGAGTGTGGCCCTCGGGCCGTTTCCTCAGCCCCTTGAGATTTAGAGGCCCGCTGTTGTAGCCCCCACTGCACACTGCACTGGAGCGGGCTGCCTGGAAGGCACACCGAGGGTAAAGAGTCAGTGCCCTGTTTTCTCACCCTGTCCACCCCTCAGCGATAATTATTTTAGATTTTTTCAATACGTTTTTGGAAAATTACATAAAAAAATTATAGGGCCGGGGAGGTGGCTCAGTGGAATAAGTGCTTGCCTGGCAAGTGCAAGGGCCTGAGTTCAATCCTCCGTTCCACAAAAAAAAAAAAAATAAAAATAAAAAATTATAAACATCTGAAATCCTACTTTACACATTGTTCTCTAACTTCCTTTTTCCACTTAATATTTCTTCGACATTTTCCCATGTCAGTACACATACCTGTCTTTTTTTTTTTTTTAAACAGTGTAGAATTTTCCATGGTATGGCTGTGCCATAATTTCTTTAACCCATCCCTTATTGATGGACATTTAGGTTGTTTCCAGTATTTTGCTATCCCAACGCTTCCGTGAACACCGAGCACTTGTGCAAGTATACCTGGGGGATAGATTCCTGCAAGTGTAATTGCTGTGCCACAGGGTATGACCATCTTCCCTTCTGATAGATGTTGAGACCGCTGCTTCTTGCAACCCTTCGGCCCAGGCCTACCTGGGGCAGGGGAGGATTGTGGGGGTAGGGGAGGAGATCCCTGAAACTGGCTTTCCCTACCCACCAGCTCCGGCTTGATGAGACCCAGGAGGCAGAGTTCCAGGCCCTTCGGCAGCAGCTTCAGCAGGAGCTGGAGCTGCTCAACGCTTACCAGAGCAAGATCAAGATCCGCACAGAGAGCCAGCATGAGAGGGAGCTGCGGGAGCTGGAGCAGAGAGTAGCTCTGCGGCGAGCACTGCTGGAGCAGCGGGTAAGGGTGTGCCTCCAGGACTGGGCAGCGGGGCCGGCTCCCATCCTGGAACTCTTAACCCGTGTTCTGGGCATGCAGGTAGAAGAGGAGCTGCTGGCACTGCAGACGGGGCGCTCCGAGCGAATCCGGAGTCTGCTTGAGCGGCAGGCCCGCGAGATCGAGGCTTTTGACGCTGAGAGCATGAGGCTGGGCTTCTCCAGCATGGCCCTGGGGGGCATCCCGGCTGAGGCTGCTGCCCAGGGCTACCCTGCCCCGCCCCCCGCCCCTGCCTGGCCCTCCCGCCCTGTTCCCCGCTCAGGGGCACACTGGAGCCATGGCCTCCCGCCACCAGGCATGCCTCCCCCAGCCTGGCGTCAGCCATCTCTGCTGGCTCCCCCTGGACCCCCAAACTGGCTGGGACCCCCAACACAGAGTGGAACACCCCGTGGTGGAGCCCTGCTGCTGCTAAGGAACAGCCCTCAGCCCCTCCGGCGGGCAGCCTCAGGGGGCAGTGGCAGTGAGAACGTGGGCCCACCTGCTGCGTCAGTGCCTGGGCCTCTGAGCCGCAGCACCAGTGTTGCTTCCCACATCCTCAATGGTTCCTCCCACTTCTATTCCTGAAGTACAGGGTGGGCGAGCTGAGCAGTGGGGCGGGGGCAGGGCAGGTGAAGTCTGCTCTAGGGGGCACAAGCTAGAGTCCCACCCAAGGGTGGTGGGGACACAACAGTGTTGGCTCCAGCTCCCCTCAGACCTCTTCATCTCATGAGCTTCTTGGGGCTGGCCAGTGGCACTGGGCCAGCTTGGGTGTCAGTGCCCCAAGTCTGACCGGGAGCCCTGCCTCCCCACCATGGTGCCAGGGTCTCCCTCCGTCACCACCCGGGAGAGGAGGGAGCTGTGCGTGTCAAATATTCATCTAGTCCCCTGGGGGGGGGAAGGGCGGGTCTAGATATATTATATGCAGAGAACTATACTACCCTTGCGCTGGGGACTGGGGGCGACAAGGCCCCCAGACCTGGGCTGTGGCAGAGCAGGTCTGGGGCCCATGACAGGGAGAATGGGAGGCCTTCCTCAGAAGGATCAGGACAGAGTGTTGGTGTCAGGATTCCTGGGTCTCTCCATTCCCCCGTTGCTGTCTGACGTCCTGTGCCGTCTTGTCTTTTTTTTTTTTTTTTTTAAACTGGGGTCAGGGCTGGGGCGGGAGAACAAGGGAAGGACCTTGCAAAGGGCTGCTCCTGGACCTGGGGGCAGCGATGGGCGCCCTCAGCTGTGGGGCTGGCAGAGCCTCGTGGAAAGCTTTTAATAAACTGTTGGTTATTCTAACAGACTCCTGGACTCACCCTTTCTGTCTGAGGTGTGTGTGAAGGACTTGTTCTGTGCCGGGTGATATTGTTACTTATATTTATGTAACAGGCCTGTGAGACTAACTTCAGGATTTTTTGTTGTTTTTAGACAGGGTTTCACTATGTAGTTCAGATTCACCCTTGAATTCATAGCAGTCCTCCCGCCTCAGCCTTCTGAGTGCTGGCACCACAGAAGTGCACCACTACGCTGGCAACTTCAGTGATTTTAATGATTTCAAGCTTGACTGGATCAAGACCTCAAAGGAGGTCCTGGGCCTCTTGACCTCTTCCTTTCCTTTGGTTTCAAAGATTCTCAAAAGGCTCACTTCAGAGGCTAGGGAGAGAGCTCAGTAGAATAAGCACTTCCCTGGCAAGCGTAAGGTCGTGAGTTCAATCCCTGCTTCCAAAAAAAAAAAGGCTCACTTCACAGCCCCATGGCATCTCTACTTGTAGAGCTTACCAGCGCTTCAACAGCAAGCATTTTGGCCCAGGCCTCCAGGCCTGATTCAGCAATCAAGTCTGCCCTCTCTTCAGCCTGGAGTACATGGCTGTGAAAGCAAAGGAGTACAGGCTGTCCCAAGTCAGTTTGTACTCATCCTCAGGCCAGTTCAGACCTTCCTTTCACTTCCACATTTGTTACAGAGGTAGCTAAAAGCAGGATAACAAGAGGGGCCTATTGGGCAGACTGGTCTATGTAGTTCAGGCTGACCTCAAACTCCCAGCAGTCCTGCCTCAGCCTCCCCAGTGCTGGGGTTACTGGCATGCAACACCATGCCCAACTTGGTGGTACACTTTGGATGGGGAACCCCAAAATGAGAGGGACCTAGACCCCTGGCTTCCAGTAGCAGAGGCTATTCCTTAGTCTCCAGTGCCCAAATCACAGGGCATAAAAGCAAAGGACCATTTCTGATGAGGTGATTACAAACATTCCTTTATTGAGTCTCAAAAAATAAATCCTTACGAACATTTTAACGGAGAACGTGGAGCTGAGCAGTAGTGTCCGTTGTCCCTGGCAGCTACAGTCTTCCGGAAGAAAGCTATTTTTGCTTTGCAGGTTCAGGGTACAAGATGTCACCTGCGCTTTGTGCACATGGAAAGGGTCCCTCCCATGAGCTGGTAGTACTCAGTTACTCTCCCCATCACTGCTGATGATGCCTCGCATGTGTGACCAGTCCGGGGGTGCCTGACGAGGCTGCTCGTCCTCAGAGTCCAGGGTCCGGTGGTACAGCTCCCCAAAGGGGGGCGCTTCTCCTGAAGGGTTCCAGGCAGTCCGTCTACGTGGCCGGCCTAGGAGGACAAGGACAGATTAGCTGCCTGAAAAGTGCAAGCTCAGCCACATCCAGGCAGAGAAAAACCCTCACCAGAACTGCTGATGATGTTGGCGACATCCAAAGAGGCTGCCTCTGCCTCCGCCTCCCGCTGCTCCTTCAGGGCACGACACTTCTCTAAAGAGGGGTTACCTGGGGCAGAAGCGGCTCATGACCCCTCCTCCCCTGGAGCCAGAGCCCTCCGGCAGCCCTCCAGGACACACCCCGCCTCACCCTTCATGCCGAGGGCTTCCAGCTCAGCCCGCAGGACACTCAGGCGCTCCTTGTGTGAGCGACAGGACCCCAGCAGCTTTTTATAGTTTCGATGGGCACCACAGGCGCGGATGTAGCGCTTCAGCCTGGTCACAGCTGGGTGGTCCTCTCCATGGCGACCAGAGCTAGCCTGGCAAAGCAATTTAAGGCTGAGCCTGCTGGGGTCTCTCTTCTCCCTAGTGTGGTCTCCCACCCCACATGTCCCCTCACCTTCCTGTCTTTGGGCTGTGGGCTTGCATCCGAGGAAGAAGAGGAGGTTCGTGCTCTGCTCTTCTGAGAGCTCTTCTTGGCAGAGCGGTTCCTCCTCGCTCCCTTAGGGCTCGCCCCTGCCTCGCTGTCACTTAGCTCCCTTTCTAAGTCACTCTCTTCACCACTGACACTGCCCAGTTTGGCTGACTTTGCAGCTGCTTGTGCCTCGCAGCTGTCTTCATCCTCACTGCTTCTATTCTGCCGTTTCCTACTTTTCCACTGGCTCCTGACCTTGCTCTTCCTGTGTCCTGGAGACTCTTTGCCTCCCCCACTATTATCACCACTGCCTGCTGCCTCTTTCTCCTCTTCTTCCCCACTGTCCCCGTCTCTCAGCCTCCTCCCCTCCAAAGCTGACGGTTCCCTTCCTTTGCTTCTAGCTCCGGGTTTCCTCCAGTCCTCCTCGTTCTCTTCCTTCTTGAGTAGGCACTCCTCCTCACTCTCCTTTTCACTTTCCTCATGGCTTTTAGCTTCTGTTTTTTCTCCAGACTTCTTTGCTCTCCTCTGGACAGGAACTTCTTCACTGTCCTCACTTTCGTCCCTGGCCTGATGCTTTCTGGCCGAAGCCTTGCCTCGTGCCTGCTCATTCTTGGTCCTGCGTTTCTTCAAAGTCCTGCCCTTGATTTCATTTTCCTCCTCATCTTCCTCACTGTCCTTTTCCTCTAAGATCTTATTTACTCTGCCAGAGCCCTCCCCCGCCTCCTCCTGTTCCTCCTCACTGCTCTCCTCTAATCCCATTTTTGCAGGCTGCTTTGCTGGCTGGTCACTTTGCTGCTCTTCATCACTACTCTCAACTACTTTCTTGGAAGCCTGCCTTGGACGCTCCTCCTTGACTCGGCTGGTTTCTGCCTCTGCCATCCTGTTATCTGCTGGGCATCCAAAGCAGTCTGGACTGGAGACTGAGGACCTAGACCCTGCAATATGGAGAAGGAGTTGGGATAGGTCCCTCCTGTCTTGTCCTCCCCATTTGAAACAGGTTGCCTCTAAAGCTTGCTCTGGCAGTGGAAAGGGCAGCAGGAAGCACGGCTATCACCCTACCCTCTTCTGGTTCCTGACGCACTGGCCCTGGCTCCTGCACACAGCAGAAAGGCCTTTTGCATGAACCAGTGGTGCAGAACGCACAGACAGCAACAGACACTAACCTGACTCTGAATTGAGGCGGAACCTTTTTCTCTCTTGGTCACTGCAGGGAGTGGGAGGCCTCTTCGTCTTCTTGGTGAGGTCTAGCTTCTTTCGCCTGGTACCAGCTTCATCCACCTGTGAGCACCAAGAGGGCAAGAGATACGTCCTGCCCATCACCTCCTGGGCAACACACACCATCTCCTGAGGGCCAGGTTTGTACCCACACCTGCATCTTCAGCAGCTCCTCCTCCACCAGCCGCTTCAGTGCCTGCTTCTCCTCGGGTTCCAGATGGTTGCGACCCGCGTGAGCCAAGAACTTCCGCCGCACGATGGAGTGCGTGAGCGTGCTACAGAGACACGGGTCAAGACGGGCTCTACGTCCCACCCTGGCCCTTTCCAGCCCTAACTCCAATCCCCTGTGCACCTGAGGTCAGGGCGGCCTCGGAAGAAACTGTGCGTGAACTCCCGCATCTCGTTCTCCCGCGCCATTTTGCTCCACCCGGGATTGACAGCTCCCGCCTTTTTTCTTCTCGGCCTCCGTCAGCCTTTTGAGAGCGGTTTGCGCACGCGCCGTCCTGCGGATCCGGGAGGTGCGGCACCGTCGGCCCCCGGTTTGTGGATAGCTAGGGCCAAGAACTTTGGCGGACAAAAGTTGCTCTTCTTGGGCAGTTGGAGGGTCTTGAAGCGCCTATCCTTGGCTAGAACAAATCCTTTTGACAGTTTTCCTTAGAAACTGATTCGTTACCGATAACCTCCGTTGTCACGGAGACCAAGGCCGCTGTCATTTCGAAAGGCAAAAGAAAAGGGGCACCCTAGCCAAGAGACTAGGAATATTCGGGAGACCCTTCTATGAGTCCAAATCTCCAAGCTTATTTAGAATCGCTAACGGTGCCCGCCAGCATCCGCCATCTTTATAACGTCATAGCTAGGTTAGCCACTGGAAACCGCGTTCCTCTCCGGGTAGTCCCTAAGGGGTCGGTTCCCGTGGTTACACTTCCCGCGCGCGGGGCCTCCTGGGAGTTGTAGTCCTCGCGGGCGCAGCCTAGCTGCTTCTACGGAAGTGAAGGGCGTGAGACTCCCGGCAGAGCTGGCTTGAGGTAGCGGGACTCCCGTCGCCGGGACGCTGCTTCCGCGCTGGCCATGAACGGCCCGGCGGATGGCGAAGTGGATTACAAAAAGAAATACCGGAATCTGAAGCGGAAACTCAAATTTCTCATCTACGTGAGTTCTGGTGTGGAGAGGTTGTGGAGTGAGGCCTGGCGAAGAGAGCACCTCGGGTGGCCGTGTGGAAAGGGGGTGGGGCGAGCTGGCTCTCGGTGCCGAGCCGAACCTCCAGCCCGGGGCCTGCCCTTACCGCAGGAACACGAGTGCTTCCAGGAGGAGCTGAGAAAGGCGCAGAGGAAATTGCTGAAGGTGTCCCGGGACAAGAGGTGAGGAGGAGGCGCGTGCAGGAGACGAGCATGGGGCGACTCCTAGACCCCAGGGGACATTGTGGAATGGAAATAAACTCTCCTCACGGCTTCTCTCAGTTTTCTCCTAGACCGACTTCTGCAGTACGAGAACGTGGATGAAGACTCCTCCGGTGAGCAAGGTCGTGAAAAGTTGGGAGGAGGATGTGGTTCTTGGCATCCGAGCCAGTCTTCCTAGCGGCCCTCCTAGGCCCGCAGACGCTCGCGCAGCCCCCAGTGGTCCTAAGCCTGCTTGTTTCCGTGTCTCCACCGTTTTTCCTTCAAGTATTGAACGCATCTGCTGTGTTCGGGACTCCGAGCTTGACATGGGGTTACAGCAGTAGCAAAATAGACAAACCCTTTGCGCTCTTATGGTTTATAGGGAGAAATAAGTAAACAAGGTAACTGGGATTGTAGATGGTTGTATAGCTTGAAAGGGGTAAGACGAATTGGCAGATTCTTTTTGCAAAGGGCCAGATAGTAATTTAGGCTTTATGGAACACGTTGTCTTTGAAAAAACTGCTTAGCTTGTGTCAAAGCAGCCATAGCCACTAGATAAATAAATGAAAGTGGCTGTGGTTGGTGGGTTTTTTGGTTTGGTTTTGTTCTTGTTTTTTTATACTGGGAATCACATTCCGAACTCGGGACCTTGTGCTTCCCGGGCAGGTGCTGTGCTGCTGATAAAACATTATGGATACTAAAATTTGAATTGTGTAGTTTTGCCACGAAATAGGATTTTTTTCAGTACTAGGAATGAAACTCAGGGCCTTTACACTGAACTACATTTCCAGCTGTCCCCTCCTACTCCCCCACCCGTTTGACACTGTCTTGCTAAATTGCCCAGGCTGGGCTTGAACTTGCTATCCCCCTGACCTAGGCTCCCAGAGTATTGGGGTTACAGTTGTACAACATCATGCCCAGCAGTTTGTATGTTTTGTTTTGTTTTGTTTTTTTTCCAGACAGGGTCTTGCTGTCTAAAAAACCATAGTAGTTCAAGAACTTACTATGTAGCCCAATCTGGCCTCAAACTCATGATAGTCCTCCTGCTTCAGCCTCCCAAATGCTGGGATCACAGGCATGTGCCACTATTCTGAATTTTTTTTAGACTGTTTCTCCCTTCTCCATTTTCTTTCTTCTTTTCTTTCTTTCTTTATTTTGGTAGAACCAGGGATTGAACTCAGGCCCTTGCGCTTGCCAGGCAAGTGCTTATTCTACTGAGCCATCTCCCCAGCACCTTTTTTTTTTTTAATGTATTTAGTATACAATCTGTAGGGTCTCATTACACAGATCTCAGCCTTGTAGTGATCCTTCCTGTTTCTCAGCTTCCCTAGTGCTGGGATTACAGGTGCGCACCACCACGCCCAGTCTCATTTGCTGTCTTAGTACACCCCAGGGACAGGGCCAGCACTGCAGGCTGGGATCGAACCCTAACCCCCACATCTGTCTAAACAGATGCTTTGTTCCGCTGAGCTATCTGGCCAGCCCCCTCCCTCTCTTTCTTCTTTTCTTTCCTTCCTTTTTTTCTTTCAGACGGGGTCTCACCATGCAGTCCAGGTGGCCTTGAAGTCACTGTGTAGCCCAGGGTTAGCAGGGATAGCAGGTGTGCGTCACCACGCCCACCTTTTTCTACTGGAGTTTGGCTCCACGGTCTTCACACTGATCTGGGGGTACATCTATAGCCCTTTCTTAGTTTTTTTTATTTGGAAACAACGTCTTACTGAATCACCTAGGGTGGATTCCAGCTTGTGATCATCATGTTGCAGACCCCTAGAGCACTGGGAATAAGAGATGGGCCCAGCCTCAGCCATCTTTAGCCTCTTTTGGTGCCAGTGGCAAACTGACAAAATTGATTTCATGACCACTAGTGGACTGAAATCCGAAGTTTGGGAAGTCCTTGTGGTGGACGTCTGTGGTCCTCCTCCCGAGTGAGGCCCTTAAAAGGTCATCGCATTAGCTGTCCTTTGACTGTTGGGCGAGGGGAGGGATAGCAGCCAGCAGCTGGTGACTGCTTGCTCCTGTAAATGTTTGTTGGCCCCTGCGGCCCGTTGTTCGCTCTTACAGGAGTGAGGCTTCAGGACTGGCATGGGTCACTGCTGTAAGGGTGGAGAAGCAGGCAGGGGCTCCTCACATGGGCCGTGGCAGAAAGTGGCTTTGTTCTGGCCACTTCTTTCTGCTGCTCCCTTCCTTAAGTTTCCTGGTTAACCTCCTGTTAGAGGAACATGAGGGCAGGAAACAGGGAACGGAGCACATCATGGTCAGACTGGATTGAATCTGACAAGCATGAGCCAGAGGTGTTTTTTTTTTTGTTTGTTTGTTTTTGGTTTTTAATATTTATTTATTTATTTGGTACAGTCTCACTGTATAGCTCAGACTCATAGTGTTCTTTCTGTCTCAGCCTCCCCAACACTGGAATTACAGGCATGTGCCACCACACCCAGTTTCGGTGGCTGGCATGGCACACAGTACCGAGGATTGGACTGGGATCCTTGCGTTTGCTAGGCAGGCCTGAGCCAGAGGTTGAAGCCTCCACTCAGATCTTGGAGGCATCCACACATGATGCTTCTCAGCGCTTGCGAGGAGAGCCCTGAATAGAAGAGTTAAAGCAGAACTAGCATTTAACAGGGCAGGAGGAAGTCTGGAAGGCTTCTCAGAGGGGGTGGCATTCAATCTCCCTTTTTGTTTTTTAAAGACAGGGTCTCACTATGCAGTTCGGACTGACCTTGTGCTCACTTTTATAGCCCCCAGGCTGGTCTCAAACTGGAAGAGATCCATCTGGCGCCACCTTCCAAGTGCTGGGATTACAGGTGTGCACCACCACACCCAGTTTTCTCAATCTGCCTTTTAAGGGATGTATCTGAGCAGAGGAATTGGGAACCACGTGTCCTATGTAGCAGTTATTAAATGAATTAGAGGTTTTCTGGGAAGAGGCACTAGACCAGAAAATCTATTTTTGAGGAAAGAAGTTGGCATACAACTCGGTGGTAGGCATACATCTACCATATGCAAGGCCCTGCATTGGATCCTTAGCACTTCAGAAAAAAACACTAGAAAAGAGTTTGCCAACCAGAAAAGTAGGTTGAACCCAGAGTAAAAAGTACCATTGCTGGGTTTAGAAAAGGCTAGCGTCCCCTGACATGCTGAGAGGGCGACTGAGACTGGGTGTGGTGGCGCACACCTGTAATCCCAGCACTTGGGAGGCTGAAAACAGGATCACTACAAATCTGACCTGTGTAGTGAGATGCTGTAGACCCTGTACTAAATACATTTTTTTTTAAAAAAGGTTAGTGTCTATAATCCCAGCTATTTAGGAAGCCAAGACAGAAGGATCACAAAGTTGAGACCAGTTCGGACAATTTAGTCAGAATCTTACTTCAGAAATAAAGAAGGGACTGAGGGGAGCTGTGGGTATGGCTCAGTGGTAGAGCTCTCATATGCACAAGGCCCTGGGTTCAATGCCCGTGCCCCCCATCAAAAGGGGGGACTGAGGCTGTGGCAGAGTAGAAGGCCATAGGTTCCATTGCTAGAGCTACTGATGCCCTGGGGTGGCGCCAGCAGGAAAGATGGGATTAGATTTGTTTTAGGTCCTTGTAGAGTTGGGATGGACAGTAGGTGGCAGACTGGAGTCTTCTGAGCAGGTGATTTGTTCAGGATGGTTGCCTGATCTTGTGGCAGTTAGGGTGGCACCAATAGATAAAAGTAAACATTCATTTTATTTTATTATATTCTGGATGTGGTGGTGCATTCCTGTAATCCCAGCACTCAGGAGGCTGAGGCAGGAGGATCAATGGTGAGTTCAGTGCCAGCCTGGGCTAAATAAATAGTAAGACTGTCTCAAATAGTGATTACCTGTTTATCGTACATAATCAAAGGTATCTTTTGGAGTGATAGATCAGCAGGACCCTGCGTAGGGAAGAGCCCAGAGGTGAAGGCAGCTACAAGGCAAACGAGGGAGCAGCACGAAATGGTCAAGGATAGACAGGCCCGAGTTCACGCCCCAGGCCCGCCGCTTGCTCCCCGAGCCTCTGGCCACAGTTGGAAAGTGGTAGTGATGCCCTTTCAATCTTCCCTGGAGGGCTGTTAGGACTAGCAGAGGTGGCGAGTGTAAAGGGGGCCGGCACTCAGTATTTGCTCCTGTTAGGGAGGTGTCAGTGCAGGAAGCAGGCGGGCAGCTGGGGAGTCTGCCTCCTGGTCAGCTTCCTGGAGCCCTGAGTGCTGAGGACAGCGGGAAGTAGGTGGCCTCCCAGCCCACAGCCCACTGACATGCCCTCCCCCACAGACTCGGATGCTACCGCGTCTTCAGACAACAGCGAGACAGAGGGTACACCCAAGTTGTCAGACACACCTGCCCCTAAGAGGTAAGACAGCCAGCCTTCCTGGGCCTGGGTTGCTCGGCCTGCAGCTGCCTCTGAGCCCTCCCTTATCCTTTCTGTAGGAAGAGAAGCCCTCCCCTGGGAGGCACCCCATCCCCCTCAGGCCTCTCCCTGCCTCCTTCGTCGGGGTTTCCCCTCCAGGCCTCTGGGACGCCCTCTCCATACCTGAGCTCGGTAAGTTGGGGTCAAGCAGTGGTCTAAAATGCCTGGGAATGAGGTGGGCCCGTGAGAGCAAAGGGGCCAGGTCTCTGGGTGAGGCCAGCCTGACTCGGGCGTCTGTTCTTCAGTGGCCAGCAAGTGTCCCTTGGAGGGTGTGAGCCAGGGCTGCCCGCTTCTCTGGTGTAGGACTAGGGGACAGACAGGCCGCAGGAGAGCAGTGCTGCTGCTGCCCCCTCCCCTTCTGTTCTCAGGAGCCCTGGGAGCCACACTCATCACCATCTCTTTTGTTTTTCCATTCTTCCTGTTCGCATTTCTTCCCTTCACCCCCCGCCCCCCCCACTCTGTTTCCCATCTTCATCCCTGCTCCCACCAGCAGCTGGCTTCCCCCCCTTACCCCCCATTCCCTTCTGACTACCTGGCCCTGCAGCTGCCCGAGCCCAGCCCCCTGAGGCCCAAGCGGGAGAAACGGCCCCGCCTGCCCCGGAAACTCAAGGTACCCTGATTTGGGGAAGATAGGGAGGGGTATGCCATCTGAGGGAGGCTCAGGATGGCCTGGGGCCAGCCAAGGAAGGACTCGGAGAGCTTGATTTGGGACAGTTGAGGCTACAGTCCAGGGCCTGCCACTGAGGGGCACCTCTGAGAAGTAATGGCTCGGTCTCACTGTGGAGGCAGATCTGTCATTGCCAGCCCGGGTGCCAGTGCCTGGGGCCTGCCCCAGCATGGCAGTGTTCCCACGGGCCGTGAGCATGGTGATGCCAGACGGCTCCAGCGGGAGCAGAGTCGTGGCATCTGGTATCTAGTCAAGGCTGCCCCAGTGAAAAACCACTTGGAGGGGTCTCTGCCCTCTAAAGCACCTGGATTGTGGTATGTGAAGCAGTGGTGAGACGAGACAGGCTTGGCAGGTGTTCCAGAGCACCTGCTGCCTACCAGCACCATCCCGGGCGGTGGCCTTGTCAGCAGGCACAGCCTCTGCACTCACACTTTTTGCAAGCTGGGTAGGTGATAGACAAGGTGAATAGGTCCCGGTGCAGAAAATCAGGTGAGAGAAGGGGCTGGGGAGCTGGGAGGGGGCATGGGGGGGATGTTTACGTGACTTGGGGTGTTGCTTGATCAGAGATTTAGAGGAAACAGCGAGCCACACAGCTCTCTGGGAAACGGTTTCACTCAGGGACACCTGGGGCAAAGACCCCGGGGCACACATGCACTTGGCTTGTGCGGGATCTGGTGGAAGGACAGGGATGCGGGAGACATGGCCCACGAGGTCAGACGCGGGGAGCTGAGGGTCCTGTCGTCAGGGCCCTTGGACTGGTGCTTGCAGAAGGAGCCACTGGAGGAAGCTAGCAGATCTGGTCCAGTATACACGATGGCCATTGCCGCCGCTGTAGGGGTTAGCAAGGTGCAGGGCCTGGGAGCAAGTTAGATGGGGAGGCTGTGACCAAAGGCACCCAACAGCTGTGGAGATGGCGCGGAGAGGACCCGGGACCCATTTTGAGGAAGGGACCAAGGATTTCCTGGATCTTGGCAGGCCACTTAGCCCCAGGTATGACTGGGGGAGAGAGAGGCCCCCAAGGAGAAGCAGAATGGTCCTTTTCTGAGGCAGAGGACTGAAAGATGTGGGTTCTGAGGAAGTGGAGAAATGTGGCCCCAGATGCGGCAAGAGGCCCAGCAGCCACGGGTGGAAGCCGAGGGTTCGTGCTGGTTGTGCCTGGGCGTCCTCAGCAGGCTGCAGGGGGAAAGAGGGCTGAGTGCAGAGCCTCAGGAGTGGGAAGCATAGCACCCATCCAGACTGCAGTCAAAGCTGGGGAGCAACCAGGCTGGTCAGCTCGCAGGGCCCTGAAGCCAGAAGCAAAGTGAGGTGCTGCGTTCCTCATGGGTGAGCGTGGGTTCTGGAACGGGCGTACGCAGCTCAGCGGGAGAGGGCTTGCGGGCCGCGGGGGAGGGCCTGGGTTCAGTCCTAGCACCACGCAGAAAACACTGGCCCCTGCTGAAGGCTTCTGCCTCCGGCCTGTAGAGCCAGGATGGGAAGACCAGTCAGGGTGGTCAGGTTTTTGGGTTGGTGCTGTGCCCTGAAGTGGCACAGAGGGCTCGTGTTAGTTGCTGTGCCTAGAACAGATAGAGAAGGACTCAGATGACATCTGAGCCCAGGTGAGATCTGGGTATTCTGGGTTGAGGCCAAAATAGGAAGGGAGACAGGATGTGGTGGAAAGTGTTTGGGATGTAGCAAGAGTGACAGAGAAAGTTGGAAATAAGAAACAGTGGAATGGAGTGACAGAAAGCTGTGTGGACACCCAGATGAGAGTTGTCCCGGAGGGAGTGGGGATCCTCAGGGCCCCAGGTGAGAAAAAGATGGAGGCGGGAGATGTGAGCTGGTGGGACGCTGGAGGCTGGTGCAGGTCAGTCAACAGGAGCCTGAGCCGAATGCAGTGGCGCACTTCTGTGGTCCCAGCCTCTCAGGAGGATCACCTGGGCCTAGGAGTTCAAGAACCGGCTGGACTACATGGCAAGACCCCATCTTAAAAATAAATAGAACCATCTGGGGCTTTAGTTAGCCTTAGCTGGATCTCAATCCCAGCACCTCCATGTACTCTTTTTTTGTTTTGTTTTGTTTTTTCTTTTTTGTATTTTTAAGGAAGGGTCTACAGGGTGTTCAGGGTCTCACTACTAGATCAGACTCATAGTGATCCGCTGTTTACAGCCTCCCAAGAGCGGAGAGGCGTGAACCACCACACGCAGTCTCCCCATGTACTCTTGAATCTTGAGCATGCCACTTACCTGCAAGCCTCACTTATTTTAGATAGTCACCTGAAGCTACAGGGACTTAAGGGACAGAGAATGCTTAGCGTCCAACATCTGGGCCCTAGCAAGCCGCAGAATCATGTTAGTTGCCCATGGTCGCACTACAGAAGGCCAGGGCAGGAATGGGGCCAGGGTGGGGGTCCTGAGGTGGCTGCAGCCAGAGGCCGTGGTCTGCACGCCGCTGTGCTCTCTCTCCAGTGCTGTGTCTCCTGGGAATTTGTGCAGGTGTCTGGCATGGGGCTGCTCTATAGGGCAAGGCTCCTGGCTGACCTCTGTCCTGGCAGGTCAGTGTCACCTGTCGCAGACCAAGCTGACCCACCACATCACCCAGGCAGAAGGTCGGGGGGCTACTGCAGAAGCAGAGAACAGGCCAGGGCCAGATGCATCAAAGCCGTCAGGAGCCACTTGAAGGCCAGCGGAGAGCAGTTTCTGCCCCCGCAGCCCAGGGCCTGATGAGGTCCTGCCACTGGGGACCTGGTGTACCCGCTCAGGCCCTTCCTCCCTCCCACGGTGGTCCTAAAGATTGGACCACCTGGTGGGTGTGCAGTTTGTGCCTACAAAGCACAGAGAGTACCACTGAGAGCCCAGAGAGCTATCTGCAAGGACACTTTGCAGGGACCTGGCAGGGAAGGCTGGAGGTTTGGACAGAGTAGAAGCCAGTTCCCGGCTTTAGAGGAGAAACAGGGCTTTTACTGCATAGAGGACATGCCAGGTGGAGGGCTGACCTGCTGTCGCGCACCTGCACTGCCGATCCCGGGGCCCTCAGGCCCAAGAGTGACCTGCTCAGGCCTGTGTTCTAAGAGATCGCAGCTGCAGTGTAGAGGGGGAGCTGGCTCTGGGCGAGCCTGCAGACGGGGAGTCCAGCTAAGAGGCCCGTACCCTGGCAGAAGTGAGCTGAGAGGAGGCCTGGCCTGGGGTGGTAGCCACGGGGATCCCAAGGAGAGGGGCCCTGCCAAGAGGTAATAAAACTGAGGGGCAAAGAAGCCACGTAGTCTTGTGGCCCAGGTGGCCTGTGACACTGTCACTTGAGCCAGCAAGCTCTGCAGGGGGGAGGGTAAGCCAGCCAGTGGTATAGAAGGGGCCTGTGTGCCCAAAGGTCGAGGTGATATGGGCGCTGCTCACTGGCCTGGCCCTGGCTGTAACTGCTGCTACTGGACAGCCAGAGTGCCTTTGCCCCTGCTTATGTCCCCCCATCACACCTCCATCGCTGCTCCTTGATGACCACTAGCTGACTGGGCACATGCCCCTCCCCAACCCCAGAAAGGCCTCGAGGGGCATCGCCCTGCCTCCTGGAGGACTTGGTGTCTCTGACAAGCCCTCCCTGTGTTTCTTCCCCTGCTGCAGATGGCGGTGGGACCCCCTGACTGCTCTGTGGGCGGGCCACTGACCTTCCCTGCCAGGGGTCCTGGGGCTGGGGTCGGAACAGCCCTGACTCCCCTGCCCCCACCCAAGATGCCCCCCCACACGATCCTGAGCACAGTCCCTCGGCAGATGTTCAGCGATGCAGGCAGCGGGGATGACGCCCTGGACGGGGACGATGACCTGGTGATCGACATCCCAGAGTGACGCCACCGCTGTCGGCCGAGCCTGCCCCACGCCCCCTCCCTGTGCCAGCACACAAGCCCAGCTTCCTCAGAGATGTTTATTGATGCCCAGTTGCCATGCTTTGGCCACTGACATGACCAGAAAAGGCGTAAACATGCACAGATGTCCCCCAGGAAGGTGGCAGGGGCCCTGCCCTCACATCCCGGCCCCAGCCAGGGGGACGGTTATTTAAATGAGTGGCCAGGAGCATCTGCTGCCTCTGGAGCAACAGCACCCCATGGTGGCCACCCCTTTAAAAGGGCAGCTGTACAGGGCTAGGACTTTTCAAATGAAATTTCTGTATTAAATGAGTAGCTCTTCTTTGTCCCTTGGAAACATTCTCTTCCGAGCCTCCCCTAATCCGACCTCCTCCCTGTGGGTGAGGGGCCGGGCAGCTTGGAGAGGCACAGAGGGCCACGAGGGACCTGGGGACAGCACTCCTCGGGGTGCAGAGGGGAGTTTGCATATTTGCAGGAAACAGCGAGTCAGGCAAGAGGAATCTGCATATGTGGATATAGAGCCCCACATCCCTCACAAGAAGACAGACCCACAGTCACGGAGACTCTCACAGAAATAAGACAGGTAGTGCAGGGCAGGGCCTCCCACCCGTGTAAACGTGCAACACACTCGTGCGAAGGTTGGGTCCTGGGCCCTGCCCGGGGGCCTTGCAGGCGGCTGCTGGTCTCAGGCCGAGGGGAGCGCCCCGGCTGCAGGGGGCAGCTCGCTTGTCAGGGTGTGCCAGCGCTCCAGAGCCGCGTCCGGCTGCTGCAGGCAGTCACTCCAGTGCTTCCGGCCCTCTCCTCGGGCACCCGGCCCCAGGGACACGCCGCCTGGTGAGCAGCCAGGGTGACAGCGTCAGGGTCCAGCTTGTTACTCGTCAGCCCTCAGCACCACCCAACTGGGCCCCTCACCTCACCTATGAAGTCATTGGATTTGCCAATGTCATAGTCCCAAACGGTGACTTCCAGAGTCTTGGTAGCCAGGGTGGAGAGTTCTATCTCATAGAAAAATTCCTGAGGGCGAGAGGAGCCACACCTACCATGAGGCCCTCTGGTCTAGGCTCCTGTCCCCACCCCGCTGTTCCTAGTTTGTCATATTCACCTCATTAAATTCTGGGTTTAGAGTCTTCTTCTTCACACATGTTTTGTGCTTGGATTTCTTGTCCACATCTGGCCTCAGGTACCTGGGTGTGGGGAGCCGGGCAGTTAAGATGCAGCCAGGCCTCAGAGGCCTAGCGCAGCGGGTCAGGCCGGCGTGGGAGGACAGCATGCGTCTCACAGATCTTACGTCTTCACATAAGGATCAGAGTAGCCATTGACATCCATGGCTGCCAGGTGGGCGCAGCGAACAATGCCCACCAGCAGCCCCCTGCGCCGAGAGCTGTAACTGAGGCTCAGCAGGATGCGCCCACGCTCTTCCAGGAGTCCAGGCCCCTGCTCAGCCTGCTCTAGCTGTGGGGGACAGACACTGGTCAGCCCGGGTCCGGCCCGCCTCCCAGCCAGCCATGGTCCCTTGAGGTGCCTCACCTCCTTCAGGTAGCAGGAGATGCCCCGCAGCGCTGCAGACATGGAGGAGGGTGACGCCAGCTAGGGGGACAGAAAGTTCTGGCAACCTGACCTCCCCCAGCTCCTACCCCCACCCCCACCCCAGGCATCCTAGTAGCTCCCACACGGACCGGGACCTGACGCTCGAGGCAGATGTTAAAATGCTTCTTCTGTGAAGGCTTGAGGCGGCGGAGAGGCACACGGATCTCCCCAATAAACTCATTGTGGCTCAGCTTGTCTTCATCGCAGACAGAGATCCTGCTGGGGAATGGCAGGGTCAGGGGCCTGGGGTACCTTGGCCCCTCCAGGTGGGAGAGCCAGCTCTGCCCTCATTCTCCATCTCATCTGTAAAATGGGTGAAGCTTGAGCCTTCACCTCTGGAGACTGTCCATCTGGGTCCCCAGGTGCAGGCTGTAAGAGCTAGAAGGGCCTCGGGGAGTCTTGGTGCTCGCCAGTGTGGGCCCACCTGGCCCAGGGACGCATCAGTGCAGCAGTTAGACTGCAACCCTGTGCCTCAGTTGCTGTTAGGATTAGGAGTCGCAGTCCCAGCCCTGTCACTTGCCAGCTGCTGTGTGGTCTTGGGCAAGTCACCTAACCTCCGTCCAGTTCCCCTCCCAAAACCATCACAAGGGTCAAGTGAAATAAACAGGAAAACCCCAGCAAAGGTTCAGTGACTGCCTTTACCCCAGCATCTGTCCCCACACCAGGGTGATCCCTGCACAGCAGCCCTGACCATGCCCCTTCCCCAGGGCGACCCTTCTGTGCCTACCTGTGGCTGAGAACAAAAGTTCAGAGTGAGGGTTTTGTGCCCCACAGCCCTGAGGGACACTGTCCCCGTATCATCTCCTGGGATGACAGCAAGTCCTTCGGACCTGAAAACTACTCCGGCTGGGGCTTTAGGGATAGGGCAGGTGGACCTAAGGTACACAGGGCTGTCTGTAGTCAGGAGCTCTGAGAAGGAATCTCCACAGCCCAAGGCTTCCTGGAGGAGGTCAGGGCTGTAGGACTTGGGCCGACAGGGAAGAAGAGACACGGGGCAAAGGCCAGGAGCTGTAGACCTGAGCACGAGAGAGGCGTCCTCTCCTGGAGAAGCAGGAGATGGGCAGCAATACCAGGGAAATATTTTGGGTTTGTGGGGGCCACTGCATGTGCCTACGTGTCATCAGTGAGGTTTGGGACATACAGAGATCAGCCAAACAAAAAAGGCCACAGTCACAGCTGGCTGGGGGCTCGGGCAGCAGGGAGGGCACCCCTCACCTGAGCACCTTGTGAGTGATGTCATCACCCGTGATCCCGCTGTACGTCAGGTCCTCATTCCACACAGGATTCAGCGTGTTCCTCTGAGTCTTGGTTTTTAATTTATTGGCCTGAGGTGTGGGGAAAAAGGGCTCTGATCCATGTCCCCCAGACATTCATGAACAGGCTGTAGATAGAAACCCACACGCTTGACCAGGCAGCTAGAAGCAAAGAGAAGGTCATTACCTTGCAGGCGCCAGGCAGCAGGTGCAACTTGACGTAGGGGTCGGCAAGGCCATTGAAGTCCATGGGCTTGAGGCCCTGGAGGGCAGAGAGGGAAGAGGGCTGTGGGCTCCAGCCCCTCGTCCTCCTCCTGCAGTGCTGGGTCCTGGATGCTTGGTGCAGCCAGGAGGAAGGGGGGTTAGGTCTGCCCTGGAGGGGGAAGGGAGGGTGCAACCCCGCAGGCTGGTGGAAGGTGGGTGCCCACGGCGGCCCACCTTGGCCCTGAGGATACTGCAGCGCAGGGTGCAGGAGGCCTGGTCATAGAGAAGGTCGAACTCCAACATGCCCAGGGCAGCTGTAGGAGAAAGAGGTGACAGGTGTGTGTGCCACAGCTCAGTGGCCGCATCTCTGTCGCCCGCAGCGAGTGCGCACAAAACTGAGTAGGCATGTGCGTGCGGTCTGGGTCCGTCTCAGCCGCGACTGGGGCTGTGTGGGTGGTGGAGTGTCTCAGCAGAAATATTGACTATCGAGCCTCGCTGAAGCTGTAATCTCCCCCGGGCCGCAGCTGCAGCGGCTGTCCCTCGTCCCTCCTTCCCTGCCCCCCTGCTCTCATGCACACCCAGCAGGGTCACAAGCCAAGCCCCCGCCCCCAACTCACTGGTGTCATCTGAGTCGTAGCTGTCCACCTCAGCCCCATCCTCAGGTGTGCTGGGCCCGAGGAGGGCCGCAGGGGGGGCCAGAGCCAGGGGGGCCAGGTGGGCCGGGGCCTCTCCACATCCCCGGCCACCCCCTTCGGGTCCCGGTGCCAGGCGAGGGAAGTAGTCAGAGATCTGGCGGATGGGCCGGATGGGCCCGGGGCACACGTTGATGGCCATGTGCTCCTGGATGTTGGTGGTCATGCGGTCGCCCCTGCGGCCCCTCATGCAGCACCCTGGAGGGGGAGGGGATGTGAGAGCCAGAGCGGCGACTCTCTAGGCTGGTGGCCGGCGGGCTGGCTGGGAGCCCTCCCTGGCCTCCACTCCTAGGCATCCAGAGAGAGGTTGGCCCCCGCAGATGGGTGGGCAGACGGGAAGTCACAGCCCTCCAGACCAGAGCCTGGCTCCAGGAGCGCGGGGTCGCCAGGCCACTCCCAACAGACAGGTCACAGCTCCCCCTGCACCCTGCCCAGTGATGTAGAGCTGGCTGGTCCTTTTGTCACCCTTTCCCTGGCTCCCCTGGTCTCCAGTCCACCCCCCACCGCACCCCACGGCCGGCCGCAGAGGTCCTGGCTCTGCTAGGGGCTGCTGTGGTCAGGGTGGCGTCCATCCGCGAGGCTACCACCTCCCGCTGACCACTCAGCCCCGGATTTGCTGCCTGCCTGGTGCCTGGTGCCCCACCCGGCAGCAGAAAGTGGGGACCCCCCTCCTGAGCGTGGCTCCCGGGGGAGCCTGGAAGGCAGCGGAGGAGAGCCAACACCCCCGGGAGCGCACAGGCTAGCGCTGGCCCTCGGCCCACGCCCCGGCGCCCAGCCCCCCGCACCTGTCTCTGAGCCTCCAACAGGTGCCCGGCACTGGGCGGCGGCGGCCGGCGGTTCCCAGGGTGGCCAGCGAGGACAGCCGCGTCCGCCGGGCGAGCCGCGCCGAGGAGACCGGGAAAGCGCGGGAGGAGGGGGAGCGGGTGGAGGCGAGGATGCAGCGGCGCGGGGCGGGCTCGGCGCTCACACTCGCCAGGCGCCCGCCGGGCACACTCGGGAGCGAACGCGAGGGCGCACACGGACACGAGTGCCCGCGCTCACACGCACGGGCGCGCGGGCTGGCGCACACTCGTGTGCACGCGGGCCGGCACATCCGTCTCGCCCCAGCACTCCTGCGTTCACACGTGTGCGAGCTCACACGCATGATACACAGTCGCAGAGAGGGCACTCGCACCTGAGAACTTCACACACACGCACGCGCCAGCGCGCGGGCTCCCTGCGCCACCAGGAAGCGGCCGCGAGAATTACCCGGTGTTTTCCCAACTCCTCCCGGGAGACCGACCCTGCCCGCCCCCGCCCCGCCCGCGCCGGCCGCTGATCCGCAGCCCGCAGTCCTCCCTCGCTCGCTCCTCTCTTCCCTCCAGGGTCTGGTCCCCCGACCACCAGCCTAGTTGCCATGGCAACGCTGGCTCACCCCCCCCTTCGCTCCCCTCCCCCGCAGAGCGTGCGACAAAGGCGAGAGCACCAGTCCCCTTCCGTGGCCATGGGGGCAGGACTTGGAGAGCCGCAGTGACCTAGGGGCATGTGGGGAGGGAGTAGGTTCCCCTGCCACCCCTAGCCTGACTGGGGAGCCACAAGTCTTAAGAGTGCGAGATGCTAGGCTGTGGCTTCCGTCCTGCCTCCTCCCTTCTCCCTTTGGCTTCTGGGCTTCTCCTCCTGATGCATCCACCCCCTAAGGCCAGTGTTCCTTTCTCAGGGATGGCGGCTCCTTTGGGACTCTATCCTTCCTCTTCCAAACCCCTGCTCTCTCTAGTTCCCTTCCTAGGGTAGAGAGGGGCGGCAGAGCCAGCCCAGAATGCCCCAGAGCCCGGCAGAGGGGAGCACTGACGCCCGGCCCCCCCTCCCCTGCTCCACACCTGCCCAGCCTGTGATCCCCCATCTTATTCACCCCCAAACTGACGAAACAAAAGGACACCGAAGTCCTCACACTGGCCTCTTCACCTGCCCCCCTGCCAGCCTGCAGGTCACACCTCGATGGCTAGGCCCTCCCTCCCGGGCACCCGCTGGCTCCTGAGGTCTCCCTGGAGCAGCTGAGTCCGGGCACCTCAGACTCACCTCTGCCGCACCTTACCGTGTCCCCTTCGGTGCTTGTTTACATTTCTGTAGCCCAGGAGTCACCCGCTGAGAGGGGCTGATTCATCTCTGAGTCCCTAGGGCCCCAAACTGGGCTGGCACTAGCTGGGCCTCACTAAATCCTGGGACAGAGAAAAATGTAACAGCCGGATAGGCTCAACACTCCCCATGTGTAAACGGGCTGGGAGTGTAGCTCAGTAGTAGAGAGGGTGCTTAGCACGCACGCAGCAATAGGTCCGGTCTCTAGCACACTCGCACAAAAATGGTGTAAATTTTATGTTTTATTTAATGATATTTTTTGATACACGGTCTCACTTCGTAGCCCAGACCAGCCTTGATCCAGCTCTCTATCCTCCCAAATGCTGGGATTACAGTCAAGCAGGGATTACAGGCAAGTACATCCTTGTCTGGTGGAATTCAAGATTGTTTATGCAGCATGTGCCCAAAGGTGGCATCCAGCTGTGAGAGTATTCCTTAAGTCAGCCACAGCATGACTTCCTATGGTGAAATAGTATGCAGCCACGAAAAGGAAAGGAGGTTCCTCATGTACATGTAGACTATCATAACCATCTTCACAATCTCATTTAAACTTAAAAAACGGGGGTCTGGGAGATGGCTCTGTGGAATAAGCGCTTCCCTGGCAAGCGCAAGGGCCTGAGTTCAATCCCCCATTCCGCCAAAAAAAATTAAATAAATAAACTTAAAAAAAGAAGGTGCACAGCAGAATGTGTAGATGCTGCCACTTGAGCCAGGAGGGCAGAAGCTCTGTGTGTTTATTTGTGTATAAATTATTTCCAGAAGGTGGCATAAGAAGTGGGTAACTATGGTGACCTCAGAGGAGGTTGCTAAGGGGCAGGAAAGGCAGGAATAGGAAAGAGTTTTCAGTGTACATCCCTTTGAGCCTTTTAAATGTCATACTGTTACCTATTTCAAAGAATACATTAAAATATGTATATATGTATAGTACAATTATATACAAATGCAGTGTACATTTTGTTAGTGTGTGTGCGGAGGTCAGCCCTAGGGCCTTGCCAGGAGTACACCCATTCTCTACTGCTGAAACACACTCCCAGCCTGAGTAAAGGGGTAAGAAAGGACTTGAGAGAGGCTATCTAGTGCCAGCGATGTAGCTCAGTGGCACAGCACCTGCCTGGCAAGCACAAGATCCTGAGTTTGACTCCCAGTACACACACACACACACACACACACACACACACAGATGCTGTCTAGGGCTTCTGCTGTACCTTTGCCCAGACATGGTGGCAGCTGCCTGGTCAAAGAGCTCATAGTCCTGTCTCCTCCGCTGCGTCTTCTCTCAGAGTCCAGGACAACAGCGAGCATTTGGGCCTCCGCTTGGTCCGAGCAGCAAAGGCTTCTCCTCCCCGCGCCATGAACCTGAACCATGGATTTCCCGAGGGCTCATGTCCCGGGGCAGCTCGGCCTCCAGAAGCCCCTGCAAGAGGACGGGGAGGTGGCCAGGTCTGCAGCGCCGGGAGCAGAGATCTCAGGCTGGGGTGCTCCACAGCTCGGAGGTTTGAAGAGCAAGCAGAAGACCCTGCGGCTGGGTATGCGGAGGAGGGGACCGTGAGAGTTGGGCTGATGACCGGTGGGCTGGGCTGGCCTGGCCCTCAAGAGTCGTGCAGGTTAAGGAGACATTCCGAAATCACCCCATCAGCCATGGGAGCGCAGAAGCAGTGTGCCACATGTTTCACTTGCTGCTGGTGGCGGACGGAGGACAGATCCTAGCGGCACGAATAAACACAGCTGAGCTAGTCCACAGGTTGTTCCAATGAGCCAGACAGCTCGGCCAGGCTTGCCGGGAGGGAAGCCCCAGGGGGAAGGAGGTCAGCAAGCTGGCGCAGTCTGCTGGGATCAAACCACGGGTCTTCCCGAGGGGCTTGGGTAAGCGAGAGGGAGGAGTCCGAGCTACCGCGGTGCTTCTGTGGATCAGAACTCCTGGAGGGCTGCTGGGACCATGTGCGGGCTGAAAAGACGGCCGCGAGGTAGGCTGGGGAGGAATCAAGGGCCTCGTTCATGATCTAATGCATTGGAGGTGTTTTTTGGACACACAGCTATCAAGCAGGAAGTTGGATATAGGAGTCGGAGCTCCAGCGAGAGGTCTGGGCTGGAAATATACATCTGTGAGTCACCAGTATATGATGATATTTAAAGCCATGAGACTGATGAGATCACCTAGGGAGAGGGAATATACATAGCAGGGAGAGGACCCGAGGCTGAGCTGGCAAGAGCGGGATGCTGAAAACGGGCAAGCGTGGCTCCCGGGCTGCGACCAGGGACGGGGTGCCCCGCCGCCGAGAGACAATGAAAATGATACAAGGTTTGGCAAGTGAGGAGACTGTGGGTTGACTTAAGTGCTGGCTGTCAGTGGAGTGGTGAGGATGAAACTCTATCAAAAGAGACTGAAGAACACATTAAAGGTCAGACCGGTGTGATGGTGCCCACCTGTAACCCTGGCACTCGGGAGGCTGAGGCAGGAGGATTGCTGTAAAATCAAGGCCAGCTTGGGCTACATAGTAAGTTCAAGGCTGACTTGAACTACATAGTGAGACCCTGTGCCAGAAAGAAAAAAGAAAGAAGAAAGAAAGAAAGAAAGAAAGAAAGAAAGAAAGAAGAAAGAGTACAATGAAAAGATCAAGCAGACCATTGAAGGCAGGGGAGTGGAGACAGCAATTGCCTGCAGGAATTGTCTGTCCACACTAGGACAGTGTGTACCCCGATTCTCTCTCCTGTAGTTCCCTGAGAAGCCATGTCTTGGTGATTTCTATCTGCCACATAAACACAGGGCAGCCTGGCACACAGCGGGAGCGCCATACATTCATTCATTCGATGGTGGAACGAATGCATAACCTAGTGCTTGGTCGAGAGGCCTTCATCCCCGAGAGGAGCTGTATTCTTGACGCAGTCGAGGAAGCTAAAAGCTCAGCCCCGGGCCTGTGGGCTCTGCACGCCTTCTCCCAGCACCCTGAGCAGAGCCTCCCGGGGTCCGAGGTGGAAACTTCGGGCATGTTGTCTCCCCCTGGAAGGGCTGCGTAAGCTGCGTAAGGAGAAAGTAGCCCGCAAAAGCCAGACCCGAAGGAGCCTCCTCTGCTCCATCCATGTGACTTTCCCTCAGTCTTTCCTCTGGGGCTTTTTTCTAGTTGCGAAATTGAAGCTGATCACAGCCAAGTATCTCTTAGGATTGCAGCGCTTCAGGGTCCCCAGGGCAGAAGAGACAGAGACCCAAGGCGGGAGGAGCCAGCAGCCCCCGCCTGGCTTGGGAACAAGTCCGCGGCCCAGGCTCCGCGTAGTAAGCCGGAGGAGACCCTGAAGTGTCCTTGGCTGGGTTGGGCTGGACCGCGTCTGTGACAGACAGGCCTATCTGCCAATCAGAGGGGAGCTGACTCTTCCCAGCCGCAATGGAGCCACTGGGTGGAGATGGCTGTAGGAGCCGGCAGAGGCGAGGGGGTCCCGCGGCCACCACGGAGGGTCGAGACGTACCGAGGGGGGCCTGAGAGGCTCTGTGCAGAGCGGGCCGGGGGAATTCCTCGAGCTACTGCCCCCGCACACTGCCAGTCCCTTGGGATCCGTTTTCGTGGCACAGACGCCACCTGTGCAGAGTGGCGGGAGCGGGGCGGAGGCGCCGGCTGCGCTTCCCCGGGCCGGAGGAGGCGAGGTCGCTAGGCCTGCGCGCTGCTGCCCCCTGGTGGGGGAAGCCCGCCACTTCGTGCAGTCCTCATCCTCCGGAGCATCCCAGCTGAGCAGAGCTGAGCGCTGGACCAACTTGGGGATGGATGCGGGAGACCCCGGTACTCCTGAATTTGGCGACACCGTGCAAGGAGGATCGTGATGGAGGCACGCACGCACACACACCCTTGGGAAGTTGTTCACATCCCTTTCCTCCTCTGTCTTGGCTCGTCTTCTCTATAATGAGGGGCAGGAGAACCTACCTCGTGAGTTGCTGCATGCAAAGTAATTACCATATTCAAAAGCGCTCAGAAAGTGCTGCTTGCGGTTGATCCAAGAGACAGAGAGAGGTGTGTAACCCCGCCCCTCCACCCCAACCCCAAAGTGTGCCTGCCACGCAAATGCGGCTTTTCATAGACCCTACCTTCCACAAAATCTCCCAAGCCCCTTCTATTTATAAATCCTTGAGCCGCTGTTGTATATTTTTATTTAGTTGTGGCTCAGGAGGTTTAAACTGTACACTGGCCGTGCTAGGCAAGTGCTGTGCCACTGAGCTGCCCTCAGCTTTGCAAATGGAAAAGGCGCTGTGGGCTCCACCTCTCTGTGGTTTCCCGCATGGCGCAGAAGGGCCCCAGCTCGCGGAGCTTTCTCCTGCCACCTTAGAGTGAGCCATTAGAATGGCTCAGGGGTGTGACATCACAGAGCCCTGCCACCCCATAGTAGGGACAGAGGGGTCATGAGGCTGGGTCAGGGAGTGGCTGTGTGTGTGTGGCTTGCTGGGCTGCAGGCCACAGAAACAGGTGGGAAGGTGACTCAGGAGCAGTGGGAAGAAAGGAAAGTGGGGTCAGGGACACTGCCCCATCCACACAAGCCCAGCACCTTCCTCCCTTCCTCCCCACGCCAGCCAGCGCTGGCCTTCCTTGGGACCTTGGCTGATGGTGGAACACAATCTACAGGGTCTTGAGTCAGCCTCTGCCTATTGGGGTGGAGCTGGGGGAGTCAGCTTGGCAGCTGCCCCAGACTTTGCTTGGGTCCTAGTGTCCAGGCCAGTGTGCAGCGAGGTGCTGGCCCCAGGAGCGTCTCCATGCTTCGTAGAGAGACCTAACTTCTTTGATTACCCAGACTCAGACCAAGCCAGCCGCCTGGCTGTGGCCCAATTTATTGGAGAGAGACCTGTGGAGTTTGTCCGCTCAGGTATGAGCCAGGCCAAGGAAAAGCCTCTGTAGTCTCGGGGCTGGAGAGCTGCCTGACCCATCCTGTCTGGCAGGTTCCGGCCCCGGGCTCTTCCATCACATCCTGCTGGGCCTCCTGGTGGTGGCCTTCCTCTACGTCCTCTTCCAGTTCTGCACCCACTTGTGAGGCCCACCCTACGCCCAGCCCCAGCCCTCTCTAGGGAGTCCCGGGCCCCCATCCTCAGGAGTGGTGTGTGACTTTCTGTCTGACCTTCACACCCCTCAGGAGCTGCCAGAAAGGAGCCTAGAGAGCTGGCAAGGGTCGCAGATGAAGCCTGCAGGCCCAGATCTGCCCTTCTCTCCCACTGAGAAATAAAGGTCCACACCTTGGACTTGGTCTGTGCTGACTGTTCCTTGCCCAAAGGAGGGGGTCGCCCTGCTCCCCATGTACCAGGTCCCCACCTCCTCCCTCTGAGGCCTCGAAGAACTGGATGAAGATGGCCTTGGTGGCGTTCACGCGGATCGTCTTTATTAGCAGTCTGTAAAGCACCTCCCAGGGTCCCTGACCCCAGAGTGGAGGAAGCCTGGAGAGGTCTGTAGCACCAGGGACATGCCAGCGCCCGAGGGCAAGGTGTGCAGCCGCAGGGGAAGGGCTAGGCGCCCCCACTGCCCCGGGAATCTCAGCACTGGGAAGGCCGGGGGGCAGGTAGCAGCCACCTTCCCACCCCAACAAATTAGTTTGAATTTGGGCAGATAAATAAAATAAATAAGATTCCCCACAGAAGAGGTGTGGGGGCAGCCAGGCCTGTGAGGCCCATAGGGAGAGTTGGGGTGTCCTCTCCTTCCCAGATCACAGGAAGCAGAGAGGACTTGCAGCAGAGGGGCTGGGATGGGCTTAGCAGCAGGGCCACCCCCATGTCCTTTGACTCTGGGTCCCCTGAGTTCCCTTCTCTCCCCACAGGCCCTCCAGCCTCAGTGGGTGCCCCTTCCCTTTCCTTGCTAATCCAGCACAAAGTGAGTCACAGTGGGAAGGGGCTTCCCTGGGCACCGCCTGGAGAAGGGACCCCTCTGCCCATCTTCCAGCTGGTCACCTGGCCACATCTCAGCCTCAGGGACAGCTGTCTCCTCCCTCTTCTGAATTCATCCATCAGTCTTGGGGCTGTCACAGCCAAGGGCCTCCTGCTCCCAACCCCCACCCATCAGCTCCAGAGCCCTGTCCCCATGGGGGTGCAGGTGGGGAGGGTCCCTGTCCCCCTCAGTCCTGAGTCTGACAGGGAGAGGGTGGCCGGGAGCCTCGGGGCCGGAAGAGGCGGCAGGCCCCTCGGCAGATGAGGAAGAACCAGTAGAGCTGGGGGGCGAGGAGCAGCGCAGCGCCCAGGTTGACGTGGGCCGGGATGGCCAGGGGCACGGCGAGTAGGGGCAGGCCCGCGTGCCGCCCGTAGGCCCAGTACAGGTAGGGGAAGAGCAGAACCCGGCAGCACAGGAAGCTGAGCAGCATCAGGGCGCCGTTCACCTTGTGCAGCAGCGTGTGCTGCTGCTTGTACTGTAGACAGAGCAGGGGGCAGCTGAAGGCCAAAGGCACACAGAACACGGCCACCTGCCATGCCTGCCCCCAGCCCCACCCCAGCCTAGGGCTCCTCTGTGCCTGGCCCTAAGGAGCACATGGAAGTCCCTGCAGTGCCCACCTTGGCAATGCCCTGGCATCCACTCACCTGGATGAGGATCTTGCCAAGGCAGACAAATGGGGTGCTGACCTCTGCCATCAGCATGCAGCCTAGAAAGAAATCTCCCTTGCCCTGTCGCCATACCTGCGAGGAGAAGAGAACGTGAGCAGCGCCACCGCCACTTCCCCTTTCGGAGGTGCTTAACCCTAAAAGTCTGGCAACAGGTACAGTGGCAAAGGTGGGGGTGCTGCCTCTCTGTGCCCCCCACAGAACTGCAGATGCGGTCTTACACTAAGGGGAGGACGCGGAGGGCCAGCGACGCCTCACAACTCCAGCTCCAAAGCGCCTCTGCTGGGAATGCTGCCACTGGGCCAGGCTGGCTCCGACGCATGCGCGCTGCGCTCATGCTGCGCCCCAGGGCCCCAGGCCCTGCGGCACTGGCCTGGCCACCGTGGAGGACCAGCTGCGGGGACTCACCACGGACAGCGGGAAGCACACCAGCACCATGACAGCGTGATGGAGCACCATGAGGAACTCCTTGTGCAGGTAGCCGCGCACCACGGCCCACGTGCTGCCCACTGCTCTGGGGCCTGCGTCGTCCCCTCCGTGTCCTTTGACTTGGTGCTTGTGCCAGTGGCAGAGGAACATGGCATAGATGTCATAGATGAAGTAGGGCACTGCGAATTGTGTGTAGGCAGAGGACAGCCAGTGTCTGTCGGGCAGAGAGGAAAGGGTCAGGGAGATAGGAGGGGACAGCTCCCAGGTGGGCTGCTCTGGGCCGGAAGCACTGGACACTGTGTGAGTCAGCCCTTGAGAGTGAGCAGAGCAGCCTGAGGGGGAAGTGAGCTCAAGTTACAGATGACAGAATGTAAGGGTGCAGCGTGAGCGCCCTGCCAAGCTCGTACAGTAACACATTTAGCAAGTACTTGGGCTGGGGTTCAATGTCCACCGTGTTGCCTTCTCTCTTCCCTGACCCCACCCCACAATAGAGTGGGAGGAAGAGAAGGAGGAGGGAGAGGAAGAGGAGGAGGAGGAGGAGGAGGAGAGAAGAGGAAGAGGAGGAGAAGGAAGAAGAAGAAGAGGGAAGAAAAAGAAGGGAGAAGAAAGAAGGAGGAGAAGAGAAAAGAAAGAAAGAAGGAGAAAGAAGAAGGACAAGGAGGAGGAGAAAGAAGAAGGGAGAAGGGAGAAGAGAAGGGAGAAGGAGGAGGAGGGGGAGGAGGAGAAGGAGTGGGGGGGAAGAAGAAGGAAGAAGGAAGAAGGAAGAAAAGAAGGAGAAGGAGAAGGAGAAGGAGAAGGAGAAGGAGAAGGAGAAGGAGAAGGAGAAGGAGAAGGAGAAG